GCTTGCTTGGAGTTTCATCGCGCTAAAGCTTTGAAGTTTCTGATACACGGCTGCTGCTCTGGTAGCAGCGATCTGGGCTGATGGGCTTGCTGCCTGTGGAGCATCTCCTAAACCTATATCCTACCATTCCCTACCGACTTCTGTAGGCCTGTGCTGGCAAGAGAGGCTGACAAGTGCCGCTGGATTGTGACACCGGGTGCCGCTGGTTCTTCAATATCACGCCACAGCTGCTTCCCGTTTCACACATGGCAAGACGACATGTTCTTTGCCGCTTAATCTGCACCCCCCCCCCCCTCTCCTAGCTGCGCAGGCGTGCTACGCGGGCATCACCCGATTGGCATTGAGCACTCTAACTGACTCTAACTCTTGGAGGATCCTGGCAAGAGATGGTGCGATGATAGACTTCAAAGGCCTAAGGCTTATAACTCTTATCATAGGGCAGGAGACCAGAAGAGAAAGTGCGCCAAAGTGCGCCCTGGAGATGCCCAGGTCAAGATGTTGGGACAAAGTCGGCCAGTTTACAACGCTGGCCTCCTGGCTTCACGCCGCGTCAGCTTTTCCCGGAGCACTGACTTACGAAGAGCTGTCGCTGAAAAGCTGAAGGTTTGCGAGGGACGTGTTGCTGCAGCTGCAGCTGTTTCAAGATGGGACTTGCTGGCATGGGCACGCTCTCCTCATTTCTTACACACACACACACACACACACCCACACACGCACGCACACGCACACGCACACGCACACGCACACGCACACACGCACACGCACACGCACACGCACACACGCACACACACACACACACACACACACACACACACACACACACTTGCTTCCGAGCATATTGGGTGTTCTGCCTTGACAAGAAGCCATGTTGGTGTGCCTACACATGGCGAGCATGATCTCACCGCACGAAGTTTCCAAAGCCCGACCTTAGCCTTAGTGAAGGCCGGATCTGTTCGTAGACGAATTCAGATGGGCCCATTCGGTTGACAATGAAGGTTTGTTCGCGAAGCCTCTGGCGTCGGGCCTGGCAGCAAGTGCAAGCCACCAGGGGTGCTTACCTCAAATCGGCCGACACGCAACTCCAGCGCAAGATTTTTTCGAGATACGAGAGGCGATGTGTGTAGGAGATTGAATGTTATGTGGATGTCAAGAATGAGTCGCGGTTTTGTTGTCTTGGCGTGGTCGAGAATGATTATCAACTCCTCGTATTCCTCACAGACGAGAAATGGGTGCACACAGCCAAAACCCTGGCCCCTAAACCCTGAATCGATAGTTTTGGAGGTCCCTGTGCCGTTTCTGTATCGATGGACCCTTGGACCCTTGGTAGGTTGGCTTGATTAGTGGTGCACCGAGTGAACTCTTCCCTACAGACACTTGTGCTTGTCCTGGTTTTATCGTTGAGTTGTGTTTTTATGGTTTGATTTGGATAACTGATAAAGTGAAGGGGGGAAGAGAACGTTGTTGTGGGTCCTCCGGCGGGGCCACCCTTTTTCTTCTGAGCAGACCAACGACTAACCCTGCCTGCGGTTCGGCCAGCTATGCGGGAGCGAAAAAACCCTGAATCCCACAGCCGTCCGAAGTCCAGCTTGCTTACGCTTGCGCTAAGACAGCCGAAGAAGGGGAAGTTCAACCGGGCGGCAGGCTCCCAAGGGTCAGGCTAGTCCGTCCGGGCCGCCACCGACGTATGAATTACCTGTGGCAGAGCCCTGAAGATTTAGCCCACGATCCTCGAGAAAGCATAATCCGAAACCGCCTTGAAGCACTCTTGCGGAGTGTGGTGCTTCAAGCAGCTCCCCCGGAACACGAAAGACGAACGGAGAACATCAGCACATGTGCTAAATGATTCTGGTAGTGTGTCACGGTGTGAAACCACAGGGCACCCACGCTGTTGTCGCTCCCCCCTCTCGTTTTGGACCGTGTGCCTCCCCTGCCCCTGCTGAGACACGCCCACGGACGCACGGAGAGGCTGAACGAAGCTTGAACCGAAGTGACCAGGAATCGCCAATAAACAGGGCCCGCTGTGAGCAATGCAGCTGGGCCCGTGGAAGCTCCTGCGCGGTGGTGGTCAGCAAACCCACAACCCTTGAGGGGAATCCCGGGTTAGCACTGGCCCCGGAACGCCCCAAGGCGCCCACTTCCAAGGCGCCCTCCGTTCAAGACGCCTCCAAGACCCCAGAGTGCAGCACCAGCGCCGCCGGCCCCGGCGCCTCTCCGGAAAGATCACCAAAGCCACAGCTACCCAAGGCCCAGCTCGCGCCCCAGCACGAGCTCAAGGCCAAGTCGGAGGGCGGAGCCCTGATTTAAGGGGTATACTGTATTCTCGGTTCTGTCGTGTACGATTTGCCCTCTTATGGCGTTTGTGCCCGCGGTGTACAAGCACGTACCGCCTGTATGGCAGAGCCGCAGCCGAATGGCACACTCTGCAGCATAAAGTGTACTCTGCGCGTCCACAGGTTTAACCTGTCTTGTACAGTCTTGCCACGTGCGAGATATTGCCGGCAGAACTCAATAGGGTGGGCACCGTCCGCAAAACCTTGAAACCTTGACACAAATTAGCCTCTTCCCGCAATGAGCTATTAAGATCATTATTAGACAAACAACAAGCTCCACAGGTAATCCTCCATGCAAACGGGCCTGGCATGTTGAGGGTAGGGCTTCTCCGCAACCTCCTCAACTGTAAGCCTGAAGTCCTGAACATCTCGGCCCCTGTACTGGCGACATCTAGAGCGCTCAGAGTCATATAGTGCGTGGCCGATGTCAGGACAGACAAAAACAGTCCTTGCTCGCCTTGCTCTGTGCCTATGACAGACAACGTTTTTGACCTTCTCAAGTGCTGAAGGACCCGTGTGCGGGTGTTGCACGGCTCTGACATAGGCGAGCTGAACAAAGTGCCGCAGGGGAACACGAGAAAAAGGCCAACACTGATTCACACCTGTAGGCTTCAGTGCGGAGCTTGCCTCATGCTGGGCTTCACATCACTGTCGTAGCAAGGAAAGCCGCTGACCCCGTGGTAGTAGTAGCAATAATCGAGAATCCTGGATGCCCAATCCAACTTTGGCGCGATCTCAGCACTCTTAAGTGCTGCCTTCAAGCATTGCGCGCCTGCTAGTGGGTAAAGGAGGACGGTGTCTTCGGTGGCTTCTTCACTCCGGCTGTAGCCAAGAACGGGAAAGATGTTCCTATGCTCGAAGGCAATGAGAGTCTCCAGGTCTTGCTTCGTCAGATCTCGCATCCGCGGTAACCTGGGTGCTTGCTCTCCTTGCACTCCAACCGCAAGGCAGCAAACTTCAATCCGTTTGCATCTCTGGCCTCGTATATAACTCCGAAGGTGCCCCAAGTTGGATGCCCAATACCTGGTGCAGTCCTTTAACATGCCTGGGCTTGGGCCCAACCTCGCCGAAACAGTTGCTCTGCAACACACAGCGGCTGCTGTGGTCCGAGGACTGCGACATGAAGTTGAAGCCCGAAATTCGGGAACTGTGATCACTTTCCTGGAGCAACTCTCTATGTTCAGGGTATTTCGGGGTCGTGCTAAGACGACGAGGCGCAACTTCCAGTACGTGTCGGACATCAGAACATTCCACCGTACCTGGAAACCAATCGACAAGGAGCCAGGGCAGCCAGGGTATCTGGGCAAGAATCGTACTATGACTGCCGTGAGACTACATGGGGACAGCATAGGTCTCACGACTCCCAGACCAACAAAAGGTCTCCACGCCAGGAGCTTGCTTCCATCCCTTCCCCGAGTCTTTCTCAGGGTCGAAAAACAACATGCTCTTGATCGCCAAGCTGTCATGGACGGAACACATCTTCTCCCAGATTCCTCCGGACCTCTGTCGCCGGGTTGTTCTTGAACACAAGGACGCCCACGGCGCGGCCGCCGTGCTTCAGCAGGCGGGCCTCCCTGTCTCCATCCTGGAAGATCTGATGCAGAGCCTTCGGCTGGCCTCCCGCCTGGAGTGTTTTGTCCTCCTGTACGCTGGCATGCCGGGCTCCAACCCCGACGAAGTATGGGGATTCGACCTCGCACTCCCCCTCGCTGAATAGAAAGCAGAGCGCAAGTCCAGGAAGATGATCGCACGCAAACGTGCCAAAGATCGCATGCGCTGTTGGAAGGCTCGCGGCTCTAGACATGTCCGTGCAGTGACACCCTGAAACTCTACCATGCATGGGCACCCTGTGACGTTAGTCAAGGTACGTCCTTAAACTTAAGACCAGCCCGAAACCAAGCATTTTTCACCTTGCCGAGAGTTTCGCAAGCGGAGCCCCCGGAGCCCCGTCGCAGCCTGATCGGCGGCTCTGCTCTCTCTGCGCGCCCCTTGGCCTTTTTTTAGGAAGTTGGGGTGTGGAGGATTTGGGGGGGGGGGGGGCATTTTGCATTCTGGGGCTTTGGATTTCCGATTTAGGCGATTTAGGGTTTCCGATGTCTTGAGCCTACAGCTGCCGGGTCCCTGGTCCAAGGAGTCCAAGGTTTGGGTGGATGTAGAAATGTATAAGGTTTTGGCTTGGGATTTGTGATGTCGGAATTAGGTTTCGGGTTTAGGGGGCGCAGGGTGTGTGGGGGGGGGGGGGGGGGGTTGCGTGGGGAATCTGTGGGCGTGAAGCCTTGCAGCCCACCATATGGAAGCCTGCAGAGTGGAGCGCCGGAACCTACAAAACAATTGTGGTTTCCAGGAATTCTTCAAGATTTTTGCAGAGAAGAACTATATGAATGGACGAAGGCAATGCCCCGTAGTTTCAAACCCTGGGCCCAGAAAAGTCTGAAGTTGTTGGGGTCCTAGGCGGGTCCCAAGCATCTTGGGGGGGGTGCGGGTTGCAGGGGGGTTTCACAGGGGGGCGGGACCCCCACGGCATCGGTTTGCAGCTCCTCCAGCGGGGGGGCCCCGTCACAAAATTTGGCACGCGCCATGCCTGCTTGTTCCAAACGCTTCTCGGCAGGGAGCCGAGGCGAATTATTGAGCTGTTGGACGATCCTGAGCTTCAGGCGTCGGGACTGCACCATGGCGCAGGCTGCCCATTTGCAGGAGGGAGCTTTTCGGTTTGCGTTTGGGATGTGAAAGGTGTTTGTTTGGGGGGGCGGAGAAGGGGCAAAATAAACAGCGCTCTGCGAGAAGGTTCACAAATTATTTGCACATCGAAGGTTTGTTCCAGATACTCGTACTGTACACGATCTCATGGTTCAGGGTTTAGGAGCCCTGATGAGACCCCTGAGGCATCAAATGCTCCCGGGAGGAGGGAAGTCCAAATCGTGAAGCCTTAGCCTTCACCTCTTGGTGTTCTTGTCTTCCTCGACTTTGGAGTTAGACAAGCATGCATCCCACGACTTCCTTTCATGTGCCAACGTTCAGAGCTGTCAAGTTTGGGAAGCCCTGGGGCAGGAGCAGCGCTGGGAGCAGCTGCGGCCGCGCGGCCTGGGCCCCGGAGCGCGGTGGGGCCACAGCGCGGCCGTGGCCGGGCAGCGGATGCTCCTCTTCGGAGGTTTCATTCATGGCGCCGGCCTGAGGCAGCTCCAAACATCAGCAGATCCGGGGAGCACTGCGGAGCACGGGGGGGAGGAAGGGGCCGCACAAGTGCCAGGGGCAAACTCTTGGCTCCCTGAGCTGCCGAGGAGGAAATGGCATGCCCGGACAACATCTGGCCGACCTCAGGAGCTTCGACCTGCAGGCGAGGGGCTTTGGGGAATAGTTGTGATCTCCAAAGCAGCGGATGCATCGCAGCACCGCTTCTACAGATGCACAGGTCTTGTTTGCATTTTGTTACGCATACTTCAGGCTAAGTTGGAATCACGAGTTGCCAGGTCTAGGGCAGTCTAGGGCACCGGCAGGCTTCATGAGTTTAAGGTATGTCCTGGACCTGCGGAATGCGGGATGGCGCACAGGTAATCCTGCAACCTCCGCACGCAAACTCTTGGAAGGACACCCAGTCGGGCTCACCATGCCGGCCTGTTGTGTCACCAAAACGATCTACGCGTCACCAAAACCGACCGATGTTGAGCAGACCCAAAATGGACTGCCTGCACACCAACACAGCTTCCACCTCGATGGCGATTGCCGACCCAGTTCACTCTCGTCCCTTCATGAAGAAATTATTGGGTTCCTTTGGGATTGGGAGGCCTACCCCCAAAGAGACCCAAAACCAGCGGAGGCCCCCCAATCACGTTCAGAGGCCTCCGAGACCTTCAGAACCTCGCCAAAAAACACCACAGACCTCGGGCTTGGAAATGTGCCTTGAAAGAAGGAGAGACTGACTTGGCCAAGAGGGACCTAATCGAGTAAGTTTAGGTCTAAGCCGTAAACGGAAAATAGTTGATATGGGTCGCGTAGTTTCTCTTCAGGGCTTTGCGTGCTGAGTTGGCTTCGCTCAACTTGGGTTAGGTTTGATTGGGTATAAGTGGATTTGTTCATGGGGGTTTCTGGTGGGTTGAGGTGGGCAATACGGTCCAGGGAATGTTAGGTTAGGTTTGGTTCGGTTGGGGTTCTGTGGGTCCCTCCGGGATGGGTCAGTTGGGCGAGGTAAGTTCAGGCAAGGCCATGGCAGGTTAGGTGAGGTCAAGGTTTAGTGTGGGTCTGGCTAGATCAGGCTAGAACCTTAGGTCAGGTTGGGGTTCCCTCGCGGTCTGGGTATGGGTCGGTCTAGGGTCTGTTGCGGCAGGCTACGGCAGATTGTTGGGTTAGTAGGTAAGGGTTTGGGTTCCGCTGCTTCTTGCGGATTGGGTTAGCTTCGTATAGCTTGGGGTTTGGGGGTAGGTTGGGTCACCAAGTCCGAATTAACAACGCTAGGTTGTGTCAGGGTTGGGCACCATGACAGTGCTGGACAAGAAAGCGATCATTCAAGGTGAGGGTACTCACATTCTTTCCAGAAATAAAGCCTCACAGCCGGAGGCACCAGGGTTTCTTAGCAATATTCTTATTTCCAAACTCCTCTGTTGACAGCCCGAACCAAGCCGAAACGAAGAAAATAAACCCCCTCATTTTCCTGGTTTCCTTTTGGCATTGAAAATGGCTCCCAAAACCCTGCTTGAACCCTCCCAACAGTCAAAATTCCAAAACCTTCTCCCAACCGTTCCAATTCCATGAGAGAATCCAAGTTTCATGTCCGAAAAGAAAATAAGAACCTGAGGGAGCTCTGTTTTTTCATATTCAGAAATTGAGCGCCTCATTCTCTTGACTTTCAGAAAGTGAGCCACTCATTTTGCCATTTCCCGTTGGGCCTGAAATATTGCTCCGGAAACCGCACCCAAACCCTCCCAGACCTGCCCAAACCCTCCCAAACCCTCCAGACCCTACCAACAATCCCAAAACTTCAGAAACCTTCCCCAAACAAACCCTTCCAATTGTAAGCCTGAACCTCGAAACTCAACTCCCCAACACTTTTCCACCCTAAACTTCAAGTTCCCCAACTCTTTAGTTCTTAACCTCGTAGGCTTCAGCGCTCAGGTTGGGGTTCAGGGCGCAGTGACAAGCTCAAGTTAAAATCAGCCCAAACCTTACCTTCAGGCCACCCTGGTTTTCATCTGGCGGCCGTAGATCCCAAGCTCAGGCTGAAGGGTCTTGCACCCTGAATTCATGAACTTCCTGTGCCCCGGGTGGCCTGGCGCCTAAAGCAAGAAGTTCGGCCCCAAATCTGAGGGCGCCCTGGATTTCTTATTTTGGTACGCACCTTTTTCCGACACTGGGTGTCAGCTCTCGGGCGAGCCCCGCATTTTCTTGATCCAATGTATTTGTGTCACTGTAGGTTGGGCTAGCTTAGCTTGGCGTAGTTAGGGCGCAGTTGATTTGTTCATGGAGGCTTCCGGCGGGTTGAGTTGGGTTATGGGGTCCAGGGAATGTTAGGTTAGGTTTGGTTCGGTTGGGGTTCGGTGGGTCCCTCTGGGATAGGCGCGTTAGGCGAGTCGAGCTACAGGTCAGGTTGGGGCCTGGTGCAGGTCAGGTTAAATCAGGCTCTCTTGTGCCCTGGGGTAGGGGTCTAGGGTCGATTGCGGCAGGCTGGTCCAGGACGAGAAGTTAGGTTAGGTCAAGGCTTAGGTTCTGTCCGGTTTTTGCTGTGTTTTGGGTTAGCTTCGAGTAGCTTGGGGGGTTTTGGGTGTAAGTTGGGTCAGGGTTTTGGTCCTTGCAATCCAAAGCCGACTGGGTCGAAATTCCAAGAGCTTGGCTTTTACCCAAAGCCGATCAGGTTCAAGATTTCCAGAGCTTGCCGTGAATCCAAGAGGCTAGACCTAAAGATTTCCACTAGCCTGGCCTTAAGGGGCCAGGTCTGCGAAATCCAAAGGCCACTGCGCTTAAAAGTTCCAGAGATTGGCTTTTATCTTGAACGCCTTAATCTTTGATTGCTTCTGAGTCGGCACTGCACGCCGAAGCCCTGGGGCAGGAGCAGCGCTGGGAGCAGCTGCGGCCGCCCGGCCCGGCGCCCGCAGCGCGGCAAGGCCACAGCGCGGCCGTGGCCGGGCAGCGGATGATCCTCTTCGGAGGTTACGGCAGATGTGGTAAAGGCGCCGGCCTGAGGCAGCTCCAAGCATCAGCAGATCCGGGGAGCACTGCGGAGCACGGCGGGGGAGGAAGGGGCGCGCTGCACAAGTGTTTTGCAGGGGCAAACTCTTGGGTCCCTGAGCTGCTGAGGACAAGGCCCAATGGCCGACCTCTGGAGCTTCGACCTGCAGGCGAGGGGCTTGGGGAATCACACCTAGCATCGGATGCATCGCATCATCGCGTCTGCAGATGCGCACGTCCTGCAGCCCAACGTTTGTGCCGTTTGTGTTGACTGTTGCTGTTCTCTCCTCGGTCAGGGTTGCAGGAAGTCTTGGCAAAGACGTAGCTAGCTTGTACAAAGCCTATACCCTACGCCCTATAAACCCCTCAACCCTAAGCCCTTACAGCTTTTGAATCCTGGACTAGCCCTCTCCTCTAAACCAAGGCCCAAAGTTCCGGGCTGGGGTGGGGTAGGGGCAGCTAGGGATTCGCGAAGCGCCCATGGCCCCAGTTGGACGAGTCCCGGGTAAGCGTTCAGAGCTTTAGGTCGAGGCCAAGTGCCCAGCTGTGCTGAGGGTCCCGTCATGCATAGTTGCACAGGGGGTGCTTGGAAGGTTTGGGACAAGGTATAAGTATCCTGAAGCGCACTGCGGACTTCGTCCTCAACGGCTCGTTGTTTAAAGTGCAAGGCTCACACATCTTCAAGCCCTGAATGCCTGAACCCCAGATACCCTAAACTCAACGGCCCGTACGTAGGCGCAGTTGGAATCAGGCTTCTGCGCTGCCTTTGCTGTGGTAGGAGAGGCTTGGAGAGCTGAGCCTCAAGGTCTCGAAGGGCACTGAACGCCGAAGCATTGGGGCAGGAGCAGCGCTGGGAGCAGCTGCGGCCGCCCGGCCCGGCGCCCGCAGCGCGGTGTGGCCACAGCGCGGCCGTGGCCGGGCAGCGGATGCTCCTCTTCGGACGTCGTGCTGGTTTTGGCGCCGGCCTGAGGCAGCTCCAAAAGCATCAGCAGATCCGGGGAGCACTGCGGAGCACGGCGGGGGAGGAAGGGGCGCTCCGCACAAGTGCCAGGGGCAAACTCTTGGGTCCCTGAGCTGCTGAGGAGGACATGTGGCCGACCTCTTCTGGAGCTTCGACCTGCAGGCGAGGGGCTTGGGGAATCACACCTGGCATCGGATGCATCGCATCATCGCGTCTGCAGATGCGCACGTCCTGCAGCCCAACGTTTGTGCCGTTTGTGTTGACTGTTGCTGTTCTCTCCTCGGTCAGGGTTGCAGGAAGTCTTGGCAAAGACGTAGCTAGCTTGTACAAAGCCTATACCCTACGCCCTATAAACCCCTCAACCCTAAGCCCTTACAGCTTTTGAATCCTGGACTAGCCCTCTCCTCTAAACCAAGGCCCAAAGTTCCGGGCTGGGGTGGGGTAGGGGCAGCTAGGGATTCGCGAAGCGCCCATGGCCCCAGTTGGACGAGTCCCGGGTAAGCGTTCAGAGCTTTAGGTCGAGGCCAAGTGCCCAGCTGTGCTGAGGGTCCCGTCATGCATAGTTGCACAGGGGGTGCTTGGAAGGTTTGGGACAAGGTATAAGTATCCTGAAGCGCACTGCGGACTTCGTCCTCAACGGCTCGTTGTTTAAAGTGCAAGGCTCACACATCTTCAAGCCCTGAATGCCTGAACCCCAGATACCCTAAACTCAACGGCCCGTACGTAGGCGCAGTTGGAATCAGGCTTCTGCGCTGCCTTTGCTGTGGTAGGAGAGGCTTGGAGAGCTGAGCCTCAAGGTCTCGAAGGGCACTGAACGCCGAAGCCCTGGGGCAGGAGCAGCGCTGGGAGCAGCTGCAGCCGCCCGGCCCGGCGCCCGCAGCGCGGAGTTCCCACAGCGCGGCCGTGGCCGGGCAGCGGATGCTCCTCTTCGGAGGTGTGATGGGCGCCGGCCTGAGGCAGCTGCAAGAATCAGCAGATCCGTGGAGCACCGCGGAGCACGGCGGAGGAAGTTTAAGGGGCGCGCCGCACAAGTGCCAGGGGCAAACTCTTGGGTCCGTCCCTGAGCTGCTGAGGACATCATCTTCTGGCCGACCTCTGGAGTTTCGACCTGCAGGCGAGGGGCTTGTGGAATCGCTGTGATCTCCAAAGCAACGGATGCATCATGCGCACGTCCTGCAGCCCAATGTTTGTGCCGTTTGTGTTGACTGTTGCTGTTCTCTCCTCGGTCAGGGTTGCAGGAAGTCTTGGCAAAGACGTAGCTAGCTTCTACAAAGCCTATACCCTACGCCCTATATGCGCCCGCGTTGCGCGTAATCGGCCCCCTCCCCCCCATGGTATTCCCCAAACCCTGCCTGTTGAGCGCACTTCCTTTGCAGGTCCTTCAGGTAGGTTGTTTACTTGTTTTCCTTGTTGCTCGTAGGCCCAAGCACAGTAGGGTCATGAGCGCACAACTTTTTAAGTATGTTTACAACCTGTAGGTGCCGTAGCCCAAGAGTAGCACATAGCAAGTTCACAGACTTTATGACTTTGCTTTCCTTGTTGTGTTCGCTCGTGTAAAAAGAGTCACTCCGCATTCGTGTGAGCCATGGAAGTTGGGGGAAGTGAAACCAGGGATCTTGCAACTCCACTGTTTTCTGCCTCTCAGCCTGCTGGTTCACACCAGCAGGTTATGAGCCCAACGCAGGGCTACGGCACCGTCACACACGCCGTCTATGGACTCAGGGAGTCACCAAAGCTGTGGTCAGACTTTAGGGACTCTCAGCTTCTTAACCTTAGATGCGTGGTCAACGGGGTTGAGCTACTCAAGGGCAAGTTATAGACACGAACTGGTGGCGCGTCGCGCAAACCAGTGATGGTCAAGTCGTGGGAGGTTTAATCACCTACGTTGATGACTTCCTACTTGCTGGATGTGCTGAAGTCATCGAGGCTCTCGCTAAGGCTATCCAGTCGATCTGGAAAACGACGCCCCTCACACTTGCCACGCCGCACCAGCCGTTAAGGTTTCCAGGGGTTGAGATCCTAGTGCAGGGTTTAGGGTTTGTTCTTGCACTGTCCTTTGACACTCTCCTGACGGATGAGTCTCCCACCGAGGAGTCAGTCCGTACAGCTCAGAGGCTGACCGGAGAAATCTTGTGGCTGAGCCAGCGCACGAGGCCGGATCTCGCGTTCACCGCTTGTGTCCTTGCTACGTTGAGCACAAAGGCGCCCGAAAGGGCTGCACGCATCGCTGAAAGGGCACTTGCGTGCGTGCAGCAAACCAAAGCCTTTAGAGTCACTGCTGACGCAGATGACACGGGCTTAGTTGCATACAGCGATGCCTCTTTTGCGCCAGATGGCAATCGCTCGCACACTGGTTGGGTTGTCTTCCTCTACGGCTCTCCTGTCTGTTTGCGTTCCGCCCGGCAGGCGTTTGTCACACTCAGCACTGCAGAGTCCGAGCTCGTCGCAGGACTTGATGCCGTCGTTGCACTGCAGTCAGCAGAGGCCATGCTGGGTGAGTTTGGGGTCTTTAACTTGGTAAGACCTTGAAGGTTGACTCTCAGTCTGCGCTTGCTATCGCCATTGGCCAAGGGTCTTGGCGAACCCGCCACCTGAAGGTGCGTGCCAACTATTTGCGAGCAGTATGAGGCAGGAGAGATAATCCCTGTTTACTGCCCAGGTGTGGAGCAGGCTGCAGACCTCCTCGCGAAAGCGCTTCCTGCAGCGAGGATCCTCGAGCTCGCAGCCATTTGGGGTTTGTTCGAGCACTGTCCAGAGGACCCCCGCCAAGCGGAAGCTGTGGCTGCCGACCTGCTTACCCACCCTCACTATCCGCAGATCAAGTTGCTTTTCCTATTGCTTGCAATGATGCAGATCCAAAGTGCCAAGTGTCAGCCTGAGCTCTTTGATGAAGAGGAGGGAGATGTACATCAGGTTGAAGTAAGTACGGATCTCATGTTCATGTTGCTTGTGGGTTTTGTCGGCATTGGCTTTATTGCCGTGTGGGAGCTTGCCAAGTGGTGCCTGAGACGCCACTCTCTTTGCCGAATCCACAGCACTGCCAAGCAGAGGAAATTGCAATGCCTTCGTGACCGAACGGCCCAAGCAATCGAGTCAGCCGAACTTTCCGCACGCAGGCAGCCAGAAGATGGAGCCCCAACTCGTTACTTTGCCCCTGAGAGGGAGAAGCTCCACCGCACCAAGGACTGCCCTGCAATTGCAAGGTCATCCACTTTGCACATTTGAGGTGTCAGCGGTGCCACCGGCGTGCACCAAATCACACCACGCACAGCACAGGGTAGGTACTACTCCATGCAGAGATGCTCGCGCGCATCTCTTTCTGAGCGGCTTAGGGTAGGGAACACTCTCCACTCTGACGGGCAGGAGCTGCGCAGAAGTAGGAGTAAGGTAGGTCGCTGTCCCCTGGCGAGGCCGCGAAGGAGGAGTGTTGAACGCACTTCCTTTGCAGGTCCTTCAGGTAGGTTGTTTACTTGTTTTCCTTGTTGCTGGTAGGCCCAAGCACGGCAGGGTCATGAGCGCACAACTTTTAAGTATGTTTACAACCTGTAGGTGCCGTAGCCCAAGAGTAGCACATAGCAAGTTCACAGACTTTATGACTTTGCTTTCCTTGTTGTGTTCGCTCGTGTAAAAAGAGTCACTCCGCATTCGTGTGAGCCATGGAAGTTGGGGGAAGTGAAACCAGGGATCTTGCAACTCCACTGTTTTCTGCCTCTCAGCCTGCTGGTTCACACCAGCACTGCCTGTTAACCCTAAAAACACCACGGACCACGGGGGAGGACAGAGAAACCTCAGCCTAAACCCCACACCCTGAACCCTAAGCCCTAAAACCTAAACCCACCAATGAACGACAGGAGGGAGAAGGGTAAACCCGAAACGTTAGCCGCTTTAACCCTGAACCCTGAAGCGTAAACTCAGCGCGAACCACAGGGGGGAGAGGGGAAACTGTAAACCTACCATGACCCCAAACCTTGAACCCTGATTAAACTGTAAACCCACAATGAACCCATGGACCAGAGTGAAAAATCCTGAACTCTACACCTAAACCCCTAAACCACAAACCCATGAACCACGGACCATGAACGACCGGGGGGGGGGGGGGTGATACCGTGGGGGGGGAGGGGGGGGGGGTGCGCCTATGCTGGCGCATATAAACCCCTGGACTAGCCCTCTCCTCTAAACCAAGGCCCAAAGTTCCGGGCTGGGGTGGGGTGGGGGCAGCTAGGGATTCACGAAGCCTTCGCCATGGCCCCAGTTAGACGAGTCTCGAATAAGCGTTCAGAGCTTTGGTCGAGGCCAAGTGCCGGGTGCTTGGACATCTTGTAGGTTGAAACCCCAAGCACGTAGGCGCAGCTGCCTTTGCTGTGGTAGGAGAGGCTTGGAGAGCTGAGCCTCAAGGTCTCGAGGGGCAGTGAACGCCGAAGCCCTGGACCAGGAGCAGCGCTGGGAGCAGCTGCAGCCGCCCGGCCCGGCGCCCGCAGCGCGGGAAAGCCACAGCGCGGCTGTGGCCGGGCAGCGGATGCTCCTCTTCGGAGGTTGCGGTAGATTTGGTGCCGGCCTGAGGCAGCTCCAAGCATCAGCAGATGCGGGGGGCAAACTATTGGGTCCCTGAACTGAGGAGGACGACAAAATCTGGCCGACCTGTGGAGCTTCGACCTGCAGGCAAAGGGCTTGGGGAATCGCTGTGATCTCCAAAGCAGCGGATGCATCGCAGCATCGTGTTTGCAGACGCGCACGTCCTGCAGCCCGACGTTTGTGATTATTGTTGCTCTCTCTCGGTCAGGTTGCAGGAAGTCGTGGAAAAGACGTAGCCTACACCCGACGAACCCCAAAAATCCAAAAACCCAAACCCCAACCCCCCCTCCCCTGCAAGCATCATCACCGGTCAACAAAGCTTTGGGAACCCGGCCGGGCTGAACAATGGTTTCCCCTGGAATTATCTTGGTCATAGCTGTCCATAGCCCAGCTGCTTCAAGAATCCTCTCCACATCAAGTGCTGTAAGTTGGCAACACAGACACCACAAAGTCTGCTGAAATTCTATCTGCTTTTCACTGTTAGCCGCTCAGAATTAGGGCATTGTGTCCGGAGTACACGCTGGAAGCGAACGAGGACTGACTCAGCATGTCCTCTGTCCTCCGTTGATGAATCCTCTGGCGTCATGTTTTCATTCGCGCCACGTTTGATGTTGCGGTTTTGTTCTGACCATCACCTGATCCGCTGTCGCTTGTTCTTCTCTGCAGCTGTTGCCCAGCACTGACACATGTACCAGGCGAGATCTCTTTCTAGCTGGCAGCTTTCCAATGCGCTGTTTTTGCTGGTATCGAGTTGCGTAGCTTCGATGTCGGGGTTGTATAGGATGTTGAAATGGAGGCCCCTGGGTGTGAAGCGATGTTGCAAAGTAACTGAACCGAGCAAAACCAGAAAAGGGCAATGAATGGTTCGAATATCTCTCCCTGATACGTCTTTCTTTCCCCCAGCCAATTTCAACTCGATCTGGAATGGGGGGCAGCTTTGTAGTCTTGTCCACAACATGCATCAAAGTAGCGGTTTCTTCCTCCGTCCCTGCCCACGTCGGTATGAGCAGAGTTCATGAGTGGTACTTTCGAAACTCTTTGCGGAATGCCCAACTGCCCCATCTTCTGCTCGTGCAGGCCTAGGCAAACCAGCCTGCGGTCTCAAGTCATGCATGTGTTCTGCAACCGTAGGTGCTCGTGAATCGTTGCGCCTTGGCCGCGACACAAAACTGGTGTAGAATAGCGCTACACGTTCGAAATTGACTTGAGGACCTTCTGCAGGCGGGTGTCCCGGTGTCCATTCTTGAGGTGAAGTTGACAAGGGAAAGAAGGTGTCCTGTAAAGATTACGTCTGAGCTTCTCTGCAAGTGTGCTTTCGGCAAACACTTTCTACGGCACATCGATGCACATCGTCAGGCGTCGCCTCACTTCTCTTGGCAGCATTTGCCAGCAACTCCTCTCCACTTGCAAGGCGACCTAAAACACTCTGCTGGACCGGGCGCTATCTCCAGATACCGTCGACCGGCTTCTGCCCAGGACTCGCCCGGTCCGTTCTATTTTCCATGGCGTCCTTTTCGCTCGCATCAGCCAGCTCGGGAGAACCTGACATCCTTTGTCCTGTGTTGTTGCAAGAACGTGTGATGCGCACGCCTTAGAAGAAATTCTGCGGACACCAGGAAACCACGCAGGACTCGGAGATAGTGGCTCTCAACTGACAAAGATAACAGACACGTTGCACTTCGCCCCTGTGGAAAATGATGCGGTAGCCTTGTTGAAGCCATGAAATGGTATAGGCGGCCCTGGTCGCCTTGCTAGACGGGTCTCAGGACTTTTGCATCCAGCACGATTCAGTCTGACTCTCCCGTTTCCGTGTTACTCAAGAAGGGGGGGGGGGGGGGCATTGCCGTGGCACTGCCGCGTCAGATGCTCTGTGCGGGGTCAGCAGCTTTGATGGGCCTATTGCTTTTTCGACATCCACACCCAGCAAGTTCGTCTTGTGAACCACGCATTGCAAATGTTGCCAGACTTCCTGCTTGATCTTGGAAATCGTTCTTGGCCTTCAGCTTTGGAAAGATCGACCTCTGAGACGGGGCCTTTCAGGATCTCACACTTGTGAGACACCAGCATAAGTCTACGTTCTGTTCCTTGCATACATGGCTCGTCTTGGTCAAGGCTGCATTCTTGGCGTCCTTTGTTGGAAGTTCTCTCTTGGCGCTCCTCCATTCTCATTTCGGTGCTTGCAGTCGAGCGTTGCAAATCTGAGAGTCGTTGCCGTTGCGCCTCGGTGGGCCGTGATGCGCACTTAGTCGTACTTGTTGTTTTAGGGGAAATCCAGACTAGCATCGCACTCCGCCTTGGTTGAAGCGTCGGAGATGATATTCAGGCTTCTGAACCTCAAACATGAGCGGCTGCGCTGCTAGAACGAGAGTCCCCGTGCAGCAGTTGCAGCACGCCCTAAGCAACGGAAAGCGAAACCCGAGTGGAACCTTAACACGAGCAAGGCCGTGCAAGGCGTTGCAAAGACATGTAAGTCCACTTCTTTCTTGTTCCTGCCTGTGATTGTGAGGCCACATATCGCCAAGTCTCAGGTCTTCAAGAGGTTTGTCCTGTCCCTCGGTGCCGGAGCTTTTGGTTAAGAAATCGCTCCAGCGCAGGGACGTTGCGTAGCTTAGGCTGTTTCCATCCCTTGCGTTGCTCATGAAGACCACCAAAAACCAGCTATTCCCAAACATCGCACACGTTAAGTCCAGATATGTGGTTACAGGATGCAAGCAGTCGTCAGCCGAGGGCTGCAGTACTTCTCGACAGATGCCATCTCTGAAGCCGGTATGCGGTATGCGGGTACTTGAGCCTTAGTTTCAGGAAGGCCGCAAGTCCTCTCCTGTGTGAAGTCCCTGCTGCACGTGACTCAACATATGGCGATCGCTGCCTAACAAATCGAGCAGACAGGAATGGGTTCTTTGCGCTTGCAACAAGACGGCCTGCTTGTCCATCTAAGGACAATCAGCCAGGCTGGACAGTCTAACGTCGATCTTGCCTGGCAGCTAAATGCTTCTTGGACAAGTCTTCATGAGTCGATTTGTGTCTGGTTGCTTCACAGCGGCACACCGGAATGTTCGGCAGCAAGGCCAGGCACTTGAGTTTGGACACAACATCCCAAGCACCACGTAGAAGACCAGTTGTTTTTGGGCCTAGCAGTTTCATGATCGCGGTCTTCGTCCCTCTCCTGCCAGACTGCCCGCACCTTTGCATGGCCCAGAGTGGCCGACCACACTTCGCACAACGCCCTCTTCCCCGACAATCCTTGCCCGCTGTTGCAAGTGCTCGTCTCCAAGTCCTGAGCGGCCCGCTCCTTCCGTAGATTAACCATGGCCTGTGCATATGTTTAATTTAGTCCAGCTCGCGCCGCCCTCAGACGTAGGTGCAGAGGCTGGCAGTTGCATGGTTTTGCTGGTCATTGTAGCAATGGCTGGCCTTTCATTTTCTGTACCATTCTTTGCTTCGGCTTGGTGATCTCATGGCCATGCCCTGTGTGAATCTGACAGCTGGAGATCCCCAGCCTGAAGCCCAAGAAGGCAACCCTCACCCAAGTTGGCCGAGTTGTTTTTGCAGTTCTGGCTTACAGCCGCGAATTTGCAAGACCGAAGCCACCCGACTGAAGCCCGGCAAGTATGATAATTGATGGCCACAGAAGTTGCGCATCACGAAAAACATGGCATGTCGGCAAGCGAGCTTCCGTGAACAAGAGCCTGACCATGGACGTGCCGTCGAAATCCAATCGCACATGCTGAGCCTGTGGATCGGCAAGAACTGCCGCGAGGCTGTCCTGCTTTGCAGCACGCGGCAAGCGAAACTTTGTAACAAGCATTCAGGCACGGAGCATTTTGGTGCTTTCGTTTGCACAGGGGCCGGATCTCACGCACTCGAAGAAAATGTATCCGCCCCCTGGAGGCCTCTGCGCGACCAACTAAAACTATGGGCTCCCCGCTGCATCATGCCAGCGCAGGAAGAACAGCAGTGTCATGATGCCAGAGGTGTTGTGGTGGGTTCAGCCACGGGGTTTGGTTTGCCTTCTTGGTCGAGGTACAAAAACGAGGCCTGCCCTTCGCTGCACGCTACACTACACCTGAGGTTGCATGGCATTTCATGGTTACCGAGCGCATCATTGGGCAACGCAATGTATTTGACTTGTGTATGTTTGGAACAAGGGTCCGTAAAGGGCTTTGGGAAATAGGCTGTGTTGGATGGCAGTTCTTCGCACGTCTTCGTTGGCATGCCAAGGGCCATGCTCCTGTTTGGAAGCATCCTCTCCGACGCCAGATCTGTAATGCCATTTGCCTTGACTTGCTGTCCCATTGCTTGGCACTTGGCCCAAATGTTCGTTGCTTTTGTGTTTGTTACCACATATTGGATTTCAACCAAGCCCATACGCCCGTGGTCGAGTAGCCTGCTTCCTGCTTTCCGACTTTTGCGTGCCAGCAAGGATAGCAACAGGCCATCGCTGCTTTCTCTGAGGAGTTGATGCAAGAAGTCAATCCACGCCAGAAGTACACCACGGCTTGGAACGTCCTTGAATTTTGGAGGTTGCGCTGCCCTCCTGCGCATGGGCCCGTCAGTTGTGGGGACAGTGGTCCATTTTCCCAGCCAGCGAGCTGCTCCAGCTGACGTTCCAAGATCCTGCCTTTCTTCTCAACTGATGGTCATCTTGGGTGTTACCAAACCGTGTTTTGGAGCAGAAGGGGTGTTGCTTCAGCATCCTTATGTCCTCAGATGGTGCTCGCATTATTTGGCTTCTTGGATACGCTCATTTCCTCACGCACCTGCTGATCGTATCTTCCCCATTTCCTTCCAGAAGCTTCAGTATTGGCTTGGCTTTAGTGACTCTTGGTCGAGCTCTTCAGACTGCGCATTCCTCTCAATGCGATTGCTCTGCAAGGTCATTGGCTGTGTCTGAACGTTCTGCGCGTGAATATTTGCTCCGAGGTGAGGTCGTGCTGCGTTGAGCAGCTCTGAGCCACAAGCTGCTTGGCTGTCGGCCACGGCGAGTTGCCAGCCTTGGGCCTCATGTTTCGCGGGGACTGCTTTCGGACAAAATCACTGATGTTCAGACAGCAGCGATGCTGGAACAAGGCCTTGTGAGCGCCTCGGCGCCATAGACCTCCCCTTCATCTTCGCGACTGGGCCTTAAGTTAAACGAAGATAAGGAAATAGTTTAGACACCTGGAAAAGGAAACATGAACGCCGAGGAACTTGACTTGGATTTCCATTGGTTCGTCCGACCCGTATGGTTTTCTAGAGGACTTCCTCGGGCGTGGGCACGGGGTCCAAGTCATTGGTCTGCTTCGAAGACCGGCAAGTGCTCACGATGCTGCGTTGCGGAGATCGTCTGACGTTGCGAGCATATCCCTCATCCTGCTTTGCCATCTCTTTGCCTTTATGGGTGAGCTGGGCCTCTTCCTTTTGATGTGGCGTTTCCTCATCGTCATCCTTGTCAGAAGCTCCAGTCTTGTCAGCCTCAGATACCATAGTTTCAGATGGAGGAGGCTGATGTGCCGACGGCTGTCCGGACAGCCGGGAAAGTTGCCGGAAGCACCCGACAAGGGAACCATGGTCACGCGAGAGGGATTCCCAACAACCCAACTGCCCAAGACTCTGGAATCCGCAGTTCCTGCCTGTGAACATCTCGGGACTGCTGCATTGATTCGTGTGCCATGTCCTGGCGTGAGACTTACACGCGTCGGCTCACTGGCAACGCAGGAGACTGCCGCGACCTTGAGCCTTCAGAGGTGTCCTTTGTGGGAAACTGGAAATTCTTGGGCCCAAAACGAATATGTCTCGAATGACGGCCCACGTCTGCTGCACTCAGAAGAACTAAATAATGAGAAGCTGGCTGGCACGACGCGGAGGCTGAGGATCGGCAGGTTTACCTTTCAGGCTTCAGGGAACCATATAAATCCCAAACGCGTAGGCCCAGTTAAAACCAGGCTTCTGCGCTGCCTTTGCTGTGGTACTCGTAGGAGCTTGGAGAGCTGAGCCTCAAGGTCTCGAAGGGCACTGAACGCCGAAGCCCTGGGGCAGGAGCAGCGCTGGGAGCAGCTGCGGCCGCCCGGCCCGGCGCCCGGAGCGCGGTATAATCACAGCGCGGCCATGGCCGGGCAGCGGATGCTCCTCTTCGGAGGTTGCAATACTGGCTCCGGCCCAGCTCCAAGCATCAGCACTGCGGAGCGGCGGGGGAGGAAGGGGCGCACCGCGCAAAATGCCAGGGGCAAACTCTTGGGTCCCTGAGATGCTGAGGATGGAATTGTCTGGCCGACCTGTGGAGCTTCGATGTGCAGGCGAGGGGTTTGGGGAATCTCTCCGACTGCCGTGCTTGCCAACGGTGGCAGGGTATGAGCTGAAGGGCTTTCTGGTCGTTGTACAGTCCTTGCATGCTTAGCAATGGGCAGTCCTGGGTTGGTTCAGCAACATCTGCACGGGAACTTGAAAAACCCAGACCTTCACTTTGATCAAACCTTCTACACACTTCAAAAACTGCAACCTCCCTAAAGCCTGAGGGGCTGATCCAGCCCGCGGCTCCTGAGGCAAGTCCTTGAATCAGGGAATATACGGCGGAAAGGGCATACAGGGTATGTAGGGCGTGTCGGGTATGTAGGACGGACAGGTTTAGTACACCTGGGATGTTCTGAGGCGGAAGGAGTTCAAGATCCTGGAAATTGGCCCAACCAGTCTCAATCCCAAAGCCCGGTTTGAATCCGCCCAAGATCCCCCGCACATCTTGCAGCCGCCCAACCTAAATCCTGAAACGCTTCACCTTCAACCATCCTATAAGTTTATAAACCTTCAACCATCATAAAACCCTAAATGTGTGGCCCTGCACCCCTTAGCGGCCTTAGCTCAGACGGCACACCCACCCCGCCCCCCCCCCCCCCATTTTCAAAGATCAAAGAAACTTGAAACTTCCAGACTCCAGGCTGCACAGCCGGAGCTTCCGGAGGCGGTGCACGAGGACCTGGACCTCCAGGGCTGCTGGGCCCAAGCTGGTCAGTGTGCTCATATTCTATACAGACTTCTACATCACAAGAACTGGCCCTAGGGTTTATAGGGCTATCATATGTGGATTGTCGGCCGTTGAGCGTCGTTTGGTAACTCTTCGCTTCGAAGCTTGCAGGGGTGCATGATCGGAAGCGAGGGAACCAAAAGATGGCACGCGGCTGGTTTTGTAGGAGGGGTTAGGGCCGAGGCATCCTGCTGCCGGCGCGTGGCTACGAGGGCCCGGCGGCCGCAGCGCCGGCAGCACCTGCTGCTCCGGCAGCGCCAGCAGCTGCCGCCGCAGCGCCGGCAGCACCAGCCCCTGCCGCAGCAGTGCCAGGGCTGCCAGGGGCAGCTCCAGCAGCGCCAGCAGCCGCCGCGGCAGTGCCTGAGGCTCCTCCAATCCCCTTCCGGGAGGCGTGGAAGCTTCTGCCGGGAGAGCCTGACAAGCCTGCGTATACTGATTGCAACAAATATTGCAATAGCTGCGACTGTTGACGACGATGTTTCGCCGCTCATGTGGCGAAGACATCAAGCTCATGTAGCCCCTTTGCACTTGCTACGTGTGTTCCAAGTCCGAACTGTTCCACATCCTGAGATTGAGCCAAATAAAAGCCGCCGGTGCACTGCACGGCTTGAGCCCGGAGGCGCGAAACGCACTCGCGAATGCGCTCGAACCGAACGCTGGCCGGGCAAGCAGAGTTTTTGTTTTTGAAGATGCCGCTAGGGGTTTGTTTGTTTGGTTTAGGGATTTTTTCTAGCACTCTTGTTCATGACATGCCTTGTTGCTCTGGAGTTCCACTGTTGGCAGGCAACACCCAAAAACCATTCTCCTTGAGCCACAAAACACCAAATCCGAATAAGCACTTAATGCCGTGCCTTATCTTCTTCTGGTGCAAATGAAACAGGCAATCCGGGCGCTCAGCACTAAACCTCAACTCAAGACTTAAATTGTTCCATCGGACGAGAAAGTCTGAACCAGCGCGGAAAGCAACAACAAAGCACCAAAGCGCTGCCTTCCTAGCACTGCAACTTTGCATCTTTGCAGCTGGGTTTTAGGGCCAGGGTGGGGATGTTCGAAGTGAATACTTGGCTTAGTGCTGTGATTTCTTGTAATTGTATTTCTTGGAATTGTAGTGCTCTTGTTCGTGGCATGCCTTTTCGCTGGAGTTCGATCTGGGATGCCCAACATCCACCATACTGAGAAACCCTACAAGGCGGCCTTCGCAAGGTCGGCCAACGGCAACGGGTTGCTGTGGCAACGGGTTGTCGTGGCACCATTTGAAGCCCCTGTGAGAGGGCCCCCCTGCCCCCAAAAGCCCTCAACACTCGGCCCCCTTGATTAAACAAAAATAAAGAGGCCGAGACGAACCAGGCCTCCTTGCACAAATGCTTTCAATTTCACTTCGGCAGCCGGCACCCAAATTCTCCCCCAACTCAGGAAAGCCCAAGTTGCTGTAGCTGAGAGCCCTGGATAAGAGTATAACTCGCCATATTGTAGTGAATTGATATAATTGTATTACATGCCATACACCGTGAGTACACACTACAGTATGCCATGTGGTATCGCGGTCATCCTTTTGTAGAGGTTCATGAACCTGCTATGGAGCACAAGACCCTCGACACCAGTGTATGTCCATGAAGAGAAGCTGCTTACTCGAGGAATGCTCCGCCGGCAGAGTTGCCTTGGGACTTCTTGCAGCACTGCACCAACAACTTCGCTGAGGAGATGCTCCCCAGCCAGTCCTTGGAGTAGAGGGGCGCAGACGCAGCCAGATACCTGCCCGTGCACGAATGCTGCAACATACACACCGATTACACCCCATTGCAGAAAGCGGAAGCCTGCTGGCATTCTTGCAATGTAGGAGCGGCTGTTGGGGCGTGGGGCCTTCGGCCACTGTTTCCGCGCGGTGGATGCCGTGAACGGCTGCTGCTTCGCGGCGCCTTGGTTTTGAAGTGTCAAGCTGTCAAGCTTGCGGCAAGAAGAATGTCTTAGTGGAAGGACTGCAGGCTTCAGCGCGTTCATCCCAAAGAGTTTCACCAACAAGAATTGTGATGAAGTCATGAAATGTCACGAACCTAACCTTTTAAAGAACTTGTGCCGGCTAGACGGTCTGGTGACCGGTGCCTGCTTGGCTTTGATTGTTTTAAGTGCTTTGATTATGCTGCAGCGAACAAGCGGCCACTCTTGTGTAAGTGTTGCATGGCGTTCTCCGCGCTTCTTTAGTGGTCTTAGATGGCTCTTTCAGGGGCAAGTGCAGATGCAGGTGAAGCAGCTGGTGGCCAACGCAGTCCTTCCACGATACAATGCGGAGAGGGCGCGAAAGACAGCACAGACAGAGGTAGGGGGATGGCGGGCTTGCGCTCCTGCATGCACAGTTCTTGCTGGACAGCTCTTCAACTCTGAGCCCCTAAACCTAAGCCCCTGAAATGTTCAGGGTTGAGGGTGCTTCTTCTTAGGGCAGGATTGAAGTGCACGCTCGGCACTCAAACCCTCCGCCCTGCAGACCCCAAATCCCGATGAACAATGATAAACCGTATAAACCCTAAAATCCTTGGGACAGACGACTCTGAGTCAAGACATGCAAGCCCTTGCAGGTGGACGTGCTCCGGCAATTCAGGCTTTGGGGTGTACTGAGTTCTTCTTTGTATGATGTGTAGGACTGAGTGAGAGCTTACTACATCGCCTGGACAAAAGCTTCAACATACAGAGTAAGTATGGAGTAATGTATATCCGGGAAGGGCCAATGTTACATGGCCAGCACGGAGGAGTAATTGACGACTTTCCGGGGATAAATACAAATTATGATATAAATTTGAGGCCTCTGAATCTTGCCTGCGCAAGGACTGCAAAAAGAAGAGGGGCCCAGTGCCTAAGGGAGGTTATCTTTGCGCTGTGTGGCGAACTTTTGCCCTGCAGCAGTATGCAGCAGGCTGCACGTCGTAAGCGTCGCAAGCCGCAGTGTTTTTAGTTTGTTATCCCCTTGAAGAAACACTTCGGAATCCCTTTTGGCTATGGGGTGGGGAGGATTGGGCAAGAAGGTTGCAAGCAGCCAAGAGATCGCAGCCGCAGAGAGGATCGTAGGACTAGCATTAGCGGGATTAGCGCTGCTCAAAGCTATTGTGGAGCAGGTTTCATGAAAGCGTGTTGCGAACTGGAACTTGAGGATGCCAGTACCTGGTTTGCAACTGCAAAAAGGGTTTGTCCTTCTTGCATCTTTTGCAACTCTTGCTCCCCCCCGGTTATCTTGGAGGCACCCGCACATTGTGAAGCTTTTGGGCTTCTCGCTGCCCGAGAATGCCGAGCACTCGCAGATCTGCCTGGCCTACGAGCTACGCAGCCCTATTGATTACCCTCTGAATAGAACCACAAACTCCCTAAACGCCCGAATTTCTTCGAAGCCCTACATCCGGAAGGCTTGACTACAGCAGAGGTAGGCTGCAGCAATTTTTCCTGGACCCGTGCACAGAAACAGGGACTCTGACCCAGCGAAGAATTTCTGTAGGGGCAGATGTAAAGTGAGAGAGTGAGAAGGGGGGGGGGGGGGGGTGTTTGCAATATTCGTCAGGCTTGGCTTTTTTTTCGCGAAAGCTGACCACAGTGAGTGAGGGACTTGCGAGCACCGAAGACGTTTTCCCGGCCGCTAAACTTAAGTAGCGACAGTTGACCCGAAGGCGCCCCTGAAATGGATGGGCAGCCCGCAGAGCAATACAAACGTCCAACTTCCTCACCAACACACCATCCTCTCTCCTACCCGGAGACGAGACATAGCGAAAGAAAGTGGCAAGAAGACCACAAATGACAGAAGTTGACCATCCGCATCGCGCGCGACTGCATGTAGTGAAGGGGTGTGGCAACGAAGAGAAGCGATGGACGCGGTCATTCGGCAGTGGGAGTTTCCGGTGCGGACCACGTCGTTGCCTTCGACGCCTGAAGCTTTCGTTGTTGCTGCAGGTGCAAGGCGCAGTTGCTTTGCTGAAAGTTTGCTTGTGGCCGGTACGTTCACAAACCTGGGCCAACATTTCTTTCCGGTCTGCTTGGAGATGAGCGCACCCCATGGTGCGGAGCACAACAGGTTTCGCGCACTTCACAGATGCTACTTGGGGGAACCAAAAGTGAACAGTGAGAGCAGTGTTGTCACAACAGGGTCATCACTCTAATCTGCAGAGGTGAAACCCTGCCTGTGAAGCCCTGAATGAAGTATGGTCAGAGGACTTCAGCACTTTAGGATTGTTGTTCCCCCCTTATACTGACAGCCCTTAATAGACAATCCCTATTCAGGACTGTCAGCATAAGGGAACTTTATAGGACTAAAAATCCTGGCTAATTAGGCTGCTCTCCGGCGGTTCCCTGGATGTCGCGCTTCGGGAGAGGCCGAGGGAGCTGACTGCCAAGGCACCCCGTGCGCGGGTTTTCTTGGGGTTCTATCTTTAGGGTTTTTAATATGTATATACAACAATAATATAAGTTAATTTATGTGTATATAATGAGAGTTTGAGGTTTAGGGACTTTAGGGTTTCTGGGTGGGGGCATTTCCATCGCTTTTGAGAGCTTCTGCGCCAAGAAGGTTTCGGTTTCGTTATGCTTCTGTCTCTTCCCTGGCCCCCTGTCTTTTCTCACTTCATGAGCGACTAAGGCTCATGTTCATGTAGTTTCCTTCACGTGCTGTTGGTCTGTTCCGTGGGCTTGGGCGGTGTTGAGCATATCCACGAAATTTCCACTGAAGCTCCTTCCTGTTCACAAGGTGCTAGCACACTTTGCAATGCCTTATATGCTCCGCACGCCTCCCCACAACTCTATTGTCAAAGAGGTTGGTTTTTTTTGCCCTTGCCAGGTACGGCTGCGGGCGGCAGCTGGGATAGCCAAGGCACTGAACTACTTGCATCAAGGCAGGGGTTTGGATCGGTTTGTTAACAGACTTTCCATGGACAACCGCAGACGCCACGCAAGATTCGTAGATAGCAGATAGCACAGAACTCGACACTCAAAACCAACTTTCAAGCAACATGGCCCCTAAATCGCAAAACCCATGCTGCGAACTCGGGGCATGCTGACGCAGGCGGAGGGGGCCAGCCATGCTTCCACCGCGACGTGAAATCCGGAAACATTTGCCTCACTGGTGCCCTGAGGCCTGATGTCTGAAAGTTTCCGGACAAACCTTGCGTCATTCCGAACAAGGGTGGTTGCAGTTGCTGAGTATTCATCTCCAAGAGGTTTCTGAAGGCAGCCTCTAACAGAAGCACGCCCCCGACGTTGTGAGGGCATGGGGGACTGACTGTTCATGCATGTAGAGACAGATTGAGTTTCTTGGCCCCGGCATGTCAATATGTCTCAACCAGCCACATCTCAACATGTGTCCAGCCCATCGCTTCCAAAAACACAGCAACAAATGCGTGCCAAATTTATGTTCGAAGGTTTGCACCCGTGAACTCCCACACTCCGTGACGGCAGACCAGCATTGAGCTCCACGACATGACAGGTAACTCAGGTAACCATGGGATGCATGGGGAACATTCCAGAAAACAAAGCTGATCTGACGCAACCCGGCAGGGCCAAGCTCATTGATTGCGGCCTTGCGAAGTTCGCACCCGAGGAATCCGAATCCTGCAATTGTTTTGATTCAGACATCTCCATAACCCAAGCACCCAAATATTGTGCGTCTACAAGGCTCCAACCAGGGTTCTAGATTCTACAGGAGGGAAAGTCTGTTCATGCACGATGTACTTACAGGCTCTTGCAGACAGCACCTGGATTGCATCTACTGCCATAGCATATAGTATCTGACAGTAGACTCAACACTACTCAACACTAAAGCCAGTTGTCAACGCTTCGGGGCTTGGGCAGTGGTTGTGCGGGGCACCGTCGGTACTCTTGGAAGCATGCAAAGCATGCCAGCACGGCCAATTCAAAAGAACCTGCTCAGGACCGGAAGAACTAAAGTGCAACTAGATATCTGTGCAGGAATGAATGTCTTTCAAAAATTTCCAGATCCAGTTTGTAGAGTGCTCCACATGAGAAGGACGCGGACGCGCACAGCTCCACAGGGGCAAGATTCGGCACCGCCGCCTATATGTGTCCCAGGTATGCAAGACAAGGCAAGCAGAGGGTCTCCCAATGACTTGGGCACGGTCTTGTGTACATCAAGACAAGCGGCCCCGAGATCAAAATCAAGTTGAATTTGTCTCAGTGGCCTCCTTGTCTCAGGCGGCTACAATGTGAAGTCTGAGACCTACTCCTTCGGCATCGTTTTGCTGGAGCTCCTTACCGGCAAGCTCCAGCTGGCTCCCACGGATCTGGTGGAAACCTACATAGAGGAGGAGCTGTTTTTTCGATCTAGAGGGACCCCGTTGAAGACATGCTGTCGTGTGGTGAAGGGTGTTGTATGCTTGTTCTGTCCGAATCCGAATCCGACATTCAACACATTCAACCCAAGGCCTCTTGGGACGGAGGGCTGTGGTTAGCTGCAGGCATTCGGCTGTAATGTAAGGGAGCCACGCCCTTAAGGTAGTGCAGTCATCCAATCTCCAACGCAAGCCGAACGGGGCCCTTTTCTGGAAGGAAGATGCGGACCTGCATGCAGCGATGGATCCGCATGCCAGATGGCCAGTCGAAGTCTTTCGGGAGGCGAGTGCTCAGGGGCCTTGGGATTCAGCTTTTCTTGAAGGTGCGGGTGAGGGAGGGGGCGTTTTGTTCTAGGATTTACTCCCTAATGGCTCGGATTCCCGTGGAGGGGGGGAGGGCAGCTCGCGAGCTACCCTGTCGGAAAAAGCGTTTGGGCGCCTCATTTCGTGAGGTCGGAGATTTTTTCGGAATCCGAATCTCGAACCTCCCACAGTTCCTGTCTCGTCATTCTTTGAATCTTCGCAGTATTGCATTGCGTAAGCCCACACAAACTATGGGTACTAAATCGGAGGCCAGGTCAATCATGGTCAAGTCACTTGCCCTCGCAGAAGCCGTTCCCAGGTGGCCGGCGTGGCGGAGGATGCGCTGCAGAGCACCCTGAAGAAGCGCTGTGCGCTGCAGCCCGTACTGCAGGTCCTGGCAAGGCTGCTTGGGCGATCAATATGAGGCTTGGGAGGTGGGGCTCCGCTACAGTATAACAGTCGTCCCGCAACATCGAGGTCTCTTAGAGTATAGTCGAGTATGGTAGACTATACTATATACATCATGGAGTTCGCGCGTGATGTCTTGCTTGCAGAAATGGATCCGAATCTGCCTCTGCACATGGGTGTGCGAGTTACGAGTTGCAAGCCTATGCAAAAGATCTCTTACCCCCAGATGCAATAATATTCTTGCTCTACGTTACTGAGGCTGGAGCGAGAGCACGCCGGCGTCGTTTTTGAGGAGGAGCAGCTCGAGCGCTTCCGGCAGCAGCGGGAGGAGTGTTCAGAACTGTTCAGAGTCACTTTATGTCTAAACTGCCTGAGCCCTGCACCAGGGCTTGGAAAACCCGGAGCCATAGCAGGATGCAAGTAACATGATATAATTCCGACGCGAGCACACAAGGTGCAACTAGCACATGTGGAACCCAAAGTCACGCAACAAGCAGCGTCCACCAGACATTGTTCCAGAAGTGGGGCAAGGAGCTCGAGCGCGAGCAGGCCGTCCGAGAAGCCCAGCAGCGAGAACAGCAGCGCCGATGCCAGGTGTGGATCGTTTTTTGAAGGAGTGGGATGAGTGGGACGGATGCCCGAGCATGGCCCCATTCCATCCCATTCCTTTGCATTCTTTGCAGGTCTGCTTTGAGGACTTTGACATCGCACGGGGCGTCTGTTGCCCAGCTGACCACTTCCTCTGCGCCGACTGCCTCGCAGGGCACATGGAAGCGGAGGCGCGCGTTAACTGCCAACAGCCAATTCTATAGAAAGGCCTACACAGTTTTTGCGCAAACAGTTGACGGCCCACTACAGCATGAAAGGAAGGTTGAGGAAAGCGAATTGAGCTTGGGCGACAAGGTGCATCCCGAGAACTTGGAGCGCTTCCGCCGCCGCCGCGGCGTGCAGTGCCCGTCGCCGAACTGCGCGCACGTCTTCGCCAACGGGCCCTTGGCGCGGCAAGTGCCCGAAGCCACCTTCGCCCTGTACCTCCAGGCCTTCGAAAACCCTTCAATCCCAAAGGCACCTTCAGTTTCGGTCGTATGATTCTGGCCTGGGCATGCCTGGGCCCACTATCAGCCGAGCCCACACTCCTTGTCCATGTCAGGTCCAAGGAGGCGATGCCTATAGCGCTACTCCGAATCTAAGGCCGAAGCCCCCATATCCAATTAACACCCCGAAGCCCCCTGAGACCCGAGACCTGAAGCACATTTGAAGCACAACTCCCGCCGAGCGGGGCCCTTGGACGAGGCTCGGGAGCGTCTGGTCGAGGCCGCAGCCAACGAGGCCAAAGAAGGGGCCTTCGGGTTTTTTGGGTGAAGTTTCAGTGGTTCTTTCCCCGACAAGGATTTTAAGGACAACGTGGCCCGCATGATGTGATGCAACGTGCTCAAAACAGCAGGCAGACGAGCAGCTCCCAGACAGTCAGACAACACAACAGCAAGCAACTGTACCTTCAATGAGCATTCCATGTTTCGGTTGCATCATTGAACAGGTCAGGAGGCACAGGCGGGCACTACAACCTCTGAGCTTGGCTCATGTTTCTGACAGAAACCGATAGCACACACAGTTGAAGCGCTCGCGCACAGCGGCAGCAGTGCGGCGAGCACAGTCCTGTCCTGGATGACCGGCAGAACAATTACATCAAAGAGGGCTGTGGGTTACGCCCGCAGCCGCCTTCGTCCGCGAGGAACATGAACACAAACACCCGACCATATGAGCCGGTGAACACTGTTTCCACCTGGCTGGACAGATGCCAGCGGTGGCATGACCAGAAGATTAAGACTACTTTGTATGTGCAGCCAATCTGACGTGGCCACACTCGAAACTGAAAGGAACTGTAGGGAAAAACACACAGTCTGTGCAACCCTGTGGCTCAAGTGAGCCGCCAAGAACTGGAGGAATAGGAGAAGATCCAGAGGGGCAAGCTGCGAATGTCCACGACATGGCCTTGGGGTTTTCAGCTCGAACTGGTAGAAGGGCATGACAAACGAGACCATGCAGACACAAAGGACAACTTCGAAGTTTTCAAGTCAGGCATGTGTTGCTCCACGTGCTCACTTCCCGTTAACCCGTCAGGAACGGCACCAGGTCCAAACTTGTCAGGTTTCTGACACCAAGAGGCATAGCTGTCGCAGCACGTTGGCGTATGACAGCGGCAAGCATCCTCTCTGCCACGGCTGTGGCCACAAGCAACATCGTAGCGCAACAATCCAGTAAGTTGCAGGCATTCGACAACCAATGTTCTGCAAATGGGTACGACTGCAGTACCACCAGTGTCGCAAACAGACTATACAACGAAGCAATGCCAGCACTCTTGTTTGCGAGAGCCCGCAACCCAGTTCAGAAAGGTCTGACTGGACTGTGTGATTGACGTTTCAAGAGTACGCCGAGTGCATATGCCAGTCTGCAACGAAGCATCGCGATGTCTTAACGCCTCACAGCACAGAACAAGGCCTGTGATTCCGACGGTTTGGATGAGCGCTGTCCAGCTATTGCTTGTCGTCAAGCCCACGAAAGGCACCTTACCTGACATCATGGCAATCCCCCGGCGATCAGTAGTAAACAGCTCCACCACTGGAAGGGGCTCGGGCCAGAGCTTGACAGAAACCGATAACAAGAACATGATGCTGGGGGTTTAGGGCTTGCACAGTGGCAGGTCACACAGTTGAGTCAGGACAGTTTGCAGGTTGCTCACTGGGGCCCGAGGAGGCTTGCTGGATTTTGCGCACAGTGGGGTGGGAATTCAAGCGGGCCTCTATTGCATATAAGTGGCCACTTCACCGCTTCAAGGCCGTTCGAGGAGGGGCGTTTTCTCAGAACAGCTTAAACGCAATGTTTCAGACTCCTAGACTGACAAATGTTTATGCCGAGAAAGTGCGAGGGAGGGAGGAAGGGAGGGGACTTTCTGACTTTGAAATCGCAGAATGTCAACGTCCCTCGCGCGCCTCGAGACAAGCAGACAGTGAGTGAGTGAGTGAGTGAGTAGCGACTGCCAACTGGGTGGGTAGTTGGTAGCCATGCCTTAGGCGCTAGCCCTCCTGCCTCTTCAGGGGGCTCGGATACGTCACCCGAGGCCAAAAGGGGAAGGGGAAGGGGGGCTCTTTGGAATCCACTCACTTCACCCAACACAGATGTCAAAAGCAGGGGCCGCCGACCATGGCTAACATTCAGCCATCCCCGCGCCCTCATGCCAGTATGCCCTCAGAGTGGAAAGGGCGATGCTTTGAACTGTTGGCGCCGCCCTCCGAGAGGGAGGGGTCGATGCAAGCAGACAAGTGTTTACCCGGCATAAGCTCACATTTGTGATCTCAGGTGTCCGCCCCGATTGGGCCATGCAAAGCCAACCGCTGGACTGTACAGAGCCCGTAAGCCTACCCCACCCCGATTGGGCCAAGCAGGTAAGCAGGCCAAGGTTGTGTGGAGAAAAACTGGGCTACGCCGACGATAACATCCAGCACCGAGCGGAATGCCGAAAATCCCTCATTCGTAGAGGGCGTATCACCCCAGACCTTGGCACCCGGTAGAGACACTCTCCTTCGGGCAGCTCGTCGCACCCGGTAGACACTCGCCTTCGGGCGGCTCCCCCCGCGTTTTATGGGTGCATTTTCCCATGTTTGTTTCAGTTTTCAGCCCCGGAGGCCGCCGAGCGCGAGATGGCCCGGCGCCTGGCGGCCAAGCGCGCCGAGGGGCGGCTCGGCCAGGCAAAGCGCCCCGGCCTGGCGGAGAAAGGATTCGACGACACAAGTTGAAGGGCCTTTTTCCTCAACAAAGTGTGTCAACATTATAGGGGGGTTCCAACATAACGGAGACCGACAAAGTTCACACCGCGTCGAGATGTACCAAGTGCGGTGTTCTAGCCAGGGTTTCTTGCTTGTTCTTGCCTTGGATGGCCAAGGTAAAAAGGCTGCCCGTATTTGTTTAGCCAAGGGATTTTGGTCGTGCCTTGCTAACTGAACAATAACTTGCAGGCCAGAGTCTTTGGCTTTGTAGTGGCAGGTCCGGACATGGCAAGGCCGATGGAAGTGTGGTAATGGATGTTGCGCCCTACCGAAAGTCAGGCATCTGCATTTTGAGATAAGCTTCGCCCCAGGTGTGTACGAAAATCGCTTAGTTTGCAGCTAAACCAACGTTGGAACCTGCTCCAACAACACCTTTTGAAGACATGGAAGCGCAGCAGTAAACGTTGAAGATGTTTCGGCAACAAAACCAGACAATGCAATAGAACCAACTTTTTGCTGCACGACTGCCCGCCTCAGAATTTTTGAAGTTGTGCGCGCTGGGCTTCCATTTTAACGTGTGGACGGGGGCTTTGGCCCGTCTGTGCAGCTCTGTACGTGGTGCAGTTTTGCAGCTTGGGTGTTAAAGCTGCCTTTCCAATGCCAGCACACGGGGGCCAGGGCGGTTTTTTAGGATCGCAATTTAAAGTTTGTTGAACTACCTTCTTTCGTAGCAAGCCCCGAAGCGGGTTGCAAAGGCTCAGGCGTGCGCTTCGGAGATCCGCAGCGTGCGCATGAGGAAGTACACCCTCAGCGCATGTATGTGCAAAAAAGGGGGGAATTTGGGGGTAGTTGTGGACTGTGCTGGGCTTTTCAAGGCTTCGAGATGGCCTTCTCGAGGCGCCATGTGCAGGAGGAGATCCTCACGCTGCGCTGCCCGCGCTGCCGGCAGGCAGTTCGTTGTTGCGGAGATCCGTGGGAACTTGAGGAGCAGCCTAGTATACTATACACGATAGTCACGTGACAAGTCCTACAATCCAGGCCTTTGTGGACTTCAACGGCTGCTGCGCGCTGACCTGCAGCCGCGCGGGCTGCGGCTGCGGCTTCTGCGGCTTCTGCCTACAGGATGGGCGACAAACTTTGGGGGTAGGGTCTTTGGGTTGCTGGTCTTTAGGCGGGGTTTTTGGGGCTTTGGAATTCATTGGGCTCCAGGGTTTGAGATCCCCAAAAAATGCGGATGCGTTGCTGATCTGGAAGAGCGGTGCAATGGTACACTATGCTAACTTGCTAAATGGCACCTATATAGCTCAGAGTATGGCGAAAAGATGGGCCGTCGTACTTGCAGCTTGACTTACACATGCCCACAGACTTTTTTTGACAGGGCGCGGGGTGCATTCCCAAAGTATGAGCTTCCGGCCCCGTCTTTGTCCCTATGCTTCTTTCGTGCCACCCCCCCCCCCCCCCCTCTCGTTTTTCGAGGGCGGCGCTCTTCGCCGCAACCCTATATTAAACCTAAACCCACCCACGAAGAGGACTGCGGACAGGATGCCCACCCTCACGTGCGGCAGTGTGGGCTCAACCCAAGACAGGAGCCGCGATTTAGGATCTCCAGGGCTTTGATTTCTTTGGGCGTAGACAAGCCCCGCAGCTTCGGCCCCAAACCTAAACCGTCGCCACTTTGAAGGCTGTAAAGTCATTAAGTTATTTAAACTGTTCTAGGAATGGAATCTGTTAAATCATGTACATTCATCGCTTGTCGTAAATGTAAGTATTGAATTCATTAAAGATTTTAGCTCAACTAAATTAAGTACATTTGAAGTGTTATAAAAAATATTGCATTATTGTATATGCTCCGAGCCATTTACCATATACTACATATATACATGGAGGGAGGGAGGAAGGGAGGGAGGGAGAGCGAGCATTGTACAGTGAGGCTCCCTTATTGAGTTAGGGTGTTAGGCTGTTAGGGTTTGGGGTTTCAAGGTTTGGGATTTCGGGGTTGTCTTGAGTGTTGCAAGTACGCTCAATCATCTTGTTCTTCTGTCTGTTGTTGTCGTCGGCGTTTAATCCCAAATTGCAGGTCGCGACGCCTGCAACCGACAAATGAAAGAAAGGCCGTACCTTAAACATGTTTACATACAGCGAGCGCAATGAGGCATGCCAAACCTGCGAACACAGGAAAAGTTCAAGGCATACCAAAATAGAGCATAGGCTGCGTACGTAGCCCAGTCTATACACGATATGTGCTATGTAGCATGCTGTAGCATGGCCTAGTACAGCAGGGTATAGTGTGTTATGATCCCGGTTATTTTCCAAAACCCTAAACAGCCATCTTCAGACAGCATCCGATGAATCCTTGCCTGCTGCGTGCGCGAGAGTCGGAGCCCTCATCTTGAGGACTACTTCGTCTCCGAAGAGCAGTTCAGAGAGATACAACGTCGGCGACGGACCCGCCTGTTACAGGCTCCCCGTCGCTTGCTTACCTGCTTTTGGGATTAGGGTTCAGGCTCATGGTTTCGCAAGGACTACCCAATCTCCGCCATGGAATTCTAGTTAAACTTCAGAAGGCCTTCTACAAAACCCATAAGCTGAAAAGCATGACTGTATAGTATGTAGTATAGTATAGTCTTGCTTGCCTGGGTCCTTCGCAGGCTTACCTCGCAGAGCTGCAACCTCAGATTCGAGATCCCTTGCTCCGAGAACTCGCCCGTGATCTTGCCGATCTTGGCATCCGCCCGTAGCATGGAGGCGCCTCGGGGAGCACAACGGGGACTGGACTTGTTGACCCTCTTGCAATATCGCGAGGTATACGATTCCAGAAACTCAGGCCATATGCCGTGTACTGTACACTCTGTACATACTATATATATATATATATACTCTCTTTCTCTCTCTCTCTCTCTCTCTCTCTCTCTCTCTCTCTCCCTCTCTCTCTCCCTCTCTCTATGTGCCATTTGCTGTGTACTACACGTTACCCCCTTGCTCTCTCTCTGTCTCTCTCTATCGCTCTCTCTCTCTCTCTCTCTCTCTCGATCTCTCTCCCCCACTTGCTCTCGCCATGTAGTTTTCTTTATTTGTGTTGTATTATTATTATACATACTACAATCTAGTGATTGTATGCTGCATGTTTATACTACACACACATGTATATCTACCTTGTTGTATGCCATCCGTATTCTCTCTCTCGATATATATATATATATATATATATACAAGCAAATCTTGTTGTAAGTCCCGAAACCTGAAACACCAAAACAGCCTTCGTTGTGTAGTACCACTGTCCTTCACCTCGGCAGGACAACGCATTGGACCAAGTGTTTCACCCATCTCCGGAACTTCAAGAAGTTTCTTGAGTCACAGAAGCTTCACGGGCAGTCATACGGATTTTCCGTCCCCTACCAATGGGCTGTCCCAGGGCGACGAAGGATCTGCGTTGCAGGAGAGAAAAAAGAGGGCGAATACGATACTAAACTAGATCATCTCGAATACAGCAAACCATACAAGCCTATAGTTTGCTTGACCATATGCTATATATTGTAGACAAAGCTACCATGCCTTGTACTAGATGATACATGCTCTTCAAAAGGCGGACGCAGCCAAGCGCGGCTGGATGGAGTGCTGCTACGCGTATCTTCTAGTATAGTGTTTAGGGTTTTAGGGCTTATAGCGTTTCTGAAACTAAGTACCCGGCAGTCGTTACGAGGCCTGGATGCAACAGGGTGGGTTTAGGGTTTAGCGTTTCGGGTTTAGGGGGCCTGTTGCAAAAGGGTATCACATCTACATTGTGGCACGACTTACCGCTTGGAAAGCATGATTGTTGCAGCACGCATATGAGCAATTGTATCCAGCCATCATATCACGCAGTAATGACTGTTGGCCTCACCAATGCTGTCAATTTTGTTGCACTGCTGTCATAAATGCCCTAGACCTTAAGCTCGTTAACCCTATACAGGCTGAACCAGGGCTTACGGGGGGGGAGTCGAGGGGTCCTCCCTTCAGGCGCTGCCGCATCCTAAGGCTCACATCCTACAGTATCATGGCATCCTATTCAAAGCTCACGCTGCATGTCCCGCTCTTGTACTGCGCTCGAAGTCGGTTTTGGTCTTCAACGCATGGACTCTCTGCCCCAAGTTCCTAATCAAGGCTGGCATGACAGTGCATGAGCGCAGCATGGACTTAGAGCTGCCAAAGCCTCCGCCCTGGGCTTGGCTATGCGGCCATGATGGGAAGATCAGGCCAGATCCCGGCAAGCTTGTGGGAGGCTCTTGCTTCTGAAGGTCTCGGAAGTACAGGAAGTACGAGAGGTGTTGCATTGTTGCAAGGTATGAAGTTGTCTTGCTTGGAGTTTCATGGCGCTACTTGAGGTTTCTGATACACTGCCGCTGCTCTGGTAGCAGCGCTCGCTTCCTGAGCATCTCCTGTAACCTATATCCTATAGACCCTAGACCCCACCGTTCCCTACCAGGCTTCTGCAGGCCTTTGCTTGCAAGAGAGGCTGCGCCGAGTGCAAGACAAGTGCCGCGTGGTGGATTCTTCCCTGCAGATTGTGACACCGCACGCCGTTGGTTCTTCAGTATCAGGTCACAGCTGCTTCCCGTTTCACACGTGGCAAGACGACATGTTCTTTGCCGCTTAATCTGCACTCCTCCGTTCTAGCTGTGAAGGCGTGCTGTGCAGGCATCCCGATTGGTATTGAGCACTCTTAATCTTGGAGGATCCTGGCAAAACATGGTGCGATGATAGACTTCAAAGGTGTAAGGCATATAGCTCTTATCATACGGTAGGAGACCAGAATGCCAGAAGAGAAAGTGCGCCCTGGAGAAGATCTCGGGACAAAGTCGGTCGCTGGCATCCTTCACGCCGCGAGAAATCCTCCGGGAGAAAATCCTTCTCGATGCGAGGTCAGCTTTTCTGAGCGCTCTGTACCAGAGCAAGGGACTTGCGAGGAGCTGTCGTTGAAAAGCTGAAGGTTTGCGAGGGACGTGTTGCTGCAGCTGTGCTGGCATGGGCACATAGGGCTTTTCCTTGTCCCTTGACAAGTTGCCATGGCAAGCATGATCTCACCGCACAAAGTTTCCAAAGCCCGACCTTGGCCTTAGCCGTGCAAATTGAAGGCCGGATCGGTTCAAAGATGAATTCAGATGGGTCGTTCGGTTGACAATATGAGGGTCTGTTCGCGTGGCCTCGGCAGAGCCAAGATGTTCTCGAGTGTAGGAGATTGAACGCTTTTACTATTGGGATGTCAAGAATGAGTCGCAGGCGTCTTTTTTGGCTTTGGCGTGGTCAATTGTGCACCCAGACCTGAATGATTATCAACTAGGTAAGCTCATCTCATTCCTCACAGACTCTGTTCACGATAAATGGGTGCACGAATCAAGAGAAAATCAAAGCAACAGAGCAATGAGCACAAAGTGATCGCAAGAAAGATCACATGTGCAAGTGCGTTTCCTCTCACATCCTGCGCGAGAGGAACTTTAGGAAAACCACGCAAAGGAAGGAACTATCTCCCTCCGCCTGTTCAAGGGATCCTGGAAATCAAAGAAGTAGATGGGCCGATGGGCTTTGAATTGGCACTTGCTTTTGATGCAAAACAAGGGACCCCGATTTTTTCACTGGAGGAACCGAGAAACAAAGGATCCGACATCGACGGCAAAATTGCTTTTGCTTTCTGTCTCGAGAAGTCGAGGGGGTGACTCAAAAGGCTCCCAGCTCCAATTTTTACTCCCGTTTTGAAGAATTCAAAGTTTGAGTTCTTGGCCTCTTGGACTCAATGCCCCCCATGCTGATGTTGCTTGTCTAGTCTTGTCTGTATAAGTTCGCATGGCCACTCTGCCCTGGCGATCCGAAATGGGCGCCGGGCCAGGAGAACGGAACCCACCTTAAATTCGTATGACCCTTTCCTCACTTCGCATGGTCAGGGCCGGAACCTAGTGTTATGTGGTTGAGGGCTTAACAGGATTAGGGGTTTAATCGTTGCAGTGGAGGCTTGTGGGTTTGTAGGTAGTTTGTAGGGCGGCATGTAAGGTGTCGGGCCCTTATAAGACTTCACCGGGGCAATTCAGACCCAACGTCGGCTGCGCGGCTTTACGGGTCGAGAGAGGCAAACGAAACCGATCAGACGATCACCACGGCGCCAGCACTCCATGCTGCGTGTTTGGTCAGCTTCGGGACAAGAGCTTGCCACTTTGGCCCTGACAACGGAGGACTTGAGCGTGACGGACGTGAAGCACCACTTGCGCGCACTGCATGGCTGTCCAGTATGCCTTCAAGAGCTCCTGCGGGCTGACAGCTTGTTGGAGAATAGTGCTCTTCTGGATGGGCCCGCTGACCTGCAGCTGGTGGTCTTGTCCGTCCTCCGACCTGACCAGATGCTTGAGGCTGCAAACGAGCTTGTGGAGTATGCTGCCGAGACAGGCCATGTTGAAGTTGCCATGGCTCTGCTGGGAGCCGGTGCCGACAAGAACATGCAAAGCGACGTTCTGGAGTCTGGCCTGACTGCTCTCATGCGGGCATCTTCCAACGGCCACACTGAGATTGTACGCTTGCTGCTGGAAGCCGATGCCGACAAGGACCTGAGGCTCGCAGACCTCCAGGCGCAGAGGGACACGGCGGCTGCCAGGTTTCCAGTTTTCCGGAATCTCGGTCCGCCTGCCATGACCGCTCTGACTCTGGCATCTCAAGGGGGCCACGTGGAGATTGTACGCTTGCTGCTGGAAGCCGGCGCCGACAAGAACTTGCAAGACGGGAATGGCAGGACAGCTCTCATTCTCGCATCTGAATGGGACCACGTTGAGATTGTATGCTTGCTGTTGGAAGCCGGTGCCGACGTGAACTTGCAGAACGGGAATGGCTGGACAGCTCTCATGAAAGCATCTTTTGGGGGCCATCTTGAGATTTTACGCTTGCTGCTGGACGCTGGTGCCGATAAGAACTTGCGGGACGGCGAGACTGGCATGACAGCTCTCATGCATGCATTTTGTTTTTTTCGGGTTGTACCCTTTCACGCTGAGATTGTACGCTTGCTGCTGGAAGCCGGTGCCGAAATGAACTTGCAAGACCGGAATGGCACGACAGCTCTCATGGATGCATCTTCTGGGGGCCGCGTTGATACTGCACGCTTGCTGCTGGAAGCCGGTGCCGACAAGAACTTGCAAGACGGGAATGGGTGGACAGCTCTAACGAAAGCAGCTTTTGAGGGCCATCTTGAGATTGTACGCTTGCTGCTGGAGTCCGGTGCTAACCCGGACTTGAAGCTCGTAGACGCTGGGTTGTTGAAATTGAAATCTCGAAAGAACTTTCTAGGGAGTCCGGTGCTGAGCATGCTATTTCACTGGGGTGGAATTTCCTCTGTAATGCTCGCATCTTGTGCGGGCCACGTTGAGATTGTAAGCTTGCTGCTGGAAACTGGTGCCGACAAGAACTTGCAGGACAGGGACGCCAGGACAGCTCTTATTCTCGCATCTGAATGGGGCCACTTTGAGATTGTTCGCTTGCTGCTGGAAGCCGGCGCGGACAAGAACTTGCAGGACAGGACTGGCTACACAGCTCTCATGAAAGCATCTTTTGGGGGCCATGTTGACATTGTGCGCTTGCTGCTGGACGCTGGCGCCGATAAGAACTTGCGGGACAAGACTGGCATGACAGCTCACATGCTTGCGTCTTCCCGGGCCTACGTTGAGATTGTGCGCTTGCTGGTGGAATCCAGCCAGACCGACATGACCGCTCTCATGCATGCATCTTTCCGTCCCAGCATGCTTGTTGGACAGGTCTACACTGGCAAGGCCCGGTGCACCTACAAGTCCGCGGGCGACATGACGGCCGCAGTTTACAGGACCTCCACGACATCCATGCCGGTGAATTTGGACCACTCGAAGGGACACTTCGCCAACAGCAGAGCTTTGCCGTCTTCTTGTCGTTGTCCAACGAGACCTCTAGATTCGGAAGGTGTACCCCTAATAAAACCCCAAAACCCGAAACCCCAACCCCCTAATTAAAGTGAGAAGAACTCTGAACTGGAGAAAGGAAAGTGGTTCGCCCCGGGCGAGGCGCTACCACCTGGATTCGTGGTCACCTCCCATCCGGCGGGCCACACGGTGCCTCAGGAAGCTTTGGGGCGGTGTCAGGGGCTCCAGGGATCTTTGCGCGCACATATCTAAAGTGTTGCACCGTGTTGAGCAACTTGAACAGCCTGGACTGTGGCCTTGGTGCACTGCTTGGATGTGGTCAAGTGTTGCACTGCAGCTTGGCTAATCTGCGGCGCCCGTGGCAAAAGAACCCCTGAACCCTCAGGCCCTAGGCGATTCGGTTGAAGCAGCCGCCCGCAGCTCGTGGTCTGGGGCGCGGCTCTTGCCTCGGCACGGGCACGCTCGTTCGAAATCGCGCTCACGCCAAATCCGCGCCGGTTCGTTGCAAGTTCTTGCCCCAAACCAAATCCTAAACCCGAAACCCTCTTTTTAAGCCTAAATGCCTCGAGCGATGCTCATGCCAAAGACCCATGCACGATTTAGCACCTGAATCGAAAAGCTCAATGCTGCGACAACGCAGCAGGCGCGTGCTACTCCCGCTCAGGCTCCTTGGACGGGCGCGTGCGTCCATTGCACTATGGGGATTTGCGCTTTGTACGCCGGCACAGGGATCACGCCACGCCAGGCATTCTCTTGTTTCCGAGCCAGTTGCGCGTGTTGCCTCCAAACCTCAAAAGGCCTCCATAGAAGGCAAAAATAACCCTCTGATCAGCTTTCTTTGAAGACCAAGCCGACATTCCAGGAGCACCACATCATGACAGACAAGGCCCGTGAGATCTTCGTGACAAACAGCGCCAAGGCTGGTGCCCCTGCGCCCCCGAGGCAGTCGAGCCCAAAATGGGGCTTCGGGCAAGCCTACAGGGGTTTAGGAGGGGGATGCAGGAGGGCGTTCATGGCTGCAAGGCAATTAAAAAGATGATTTGGGTTGTTTTTTTTTGCGAGCAGTGCGGAGGAAGAGCAACCCGGGCAGGAGGAGATCCAGCTGCTGCTAAGAAATTCAAGGCAGGTTGAGGGTTCCCCTTGTAAAGGATGTTAACTGTCAAGAAGCCTAAACTTCGGATTGTAGGGGACCTCCAAACCCAAAGCCTGGTCTGGAGCGTGTCACGTGCTTGACATCGGATCATGTAGAGAGCTCCCACCGTCGCTTCGTAGTCATCTGTCCCACAAACCTCTGAATTCGCACGCCCACACGAAAAGGAAAGAAAGAGCAACGGTCGGCAAGTTCCCGCGGCATCGTGTAGAAAAACGACCAGTTTGTCAGGCGTTGAAACAAGATGCAGATCTTCAACATCTCTTCCAATCTCTGCCCGCTGCATTCTCGATTCTTGCTGCTGACGCTTGCTAAGCTTCCTGTCTTCGGGGTCGGTGTACTCCCTAGTCATCGGACAGGCGACCATGAAGGCCCACAAGACCCCAGACTCTCGGTCAGCGTCCCTGTGTAGGCAAGTGCCGTACATTGCGGTACATTTTCGGCCATCCTCCAGCAGGCCATGACTTGTTGCTTTCTCAGGCCAACGTGAGCGAGGTAGGGTAGCGAATCCAGCTTCTCACACGAGTTGCTGTCTGATTCTCACTTCGCTGATGATGGCATCCTTGCGTCTTAGGGTCATCTATGTGACATTCCAACATAATTTGCAGAAGTTGCTTTGTGTGTTGGTTCATCAATTAATTGTCATTTTTCTCTTGTTGGCTTGCTGGTGCGCCGCGGAGCCGCACTCTTTTGGAGGGCCAAAGGCCGCAGCCTCTCTAGCTGCCAGGTCGAGAGTCAACCTGCTCTCCTGCGGACTCATTGCGACTTACAGTGTTTGAAAGAATCATCATTCGACCATGCGCCGGCTTCATTTGCCCATCAACTTTGTTTAGGTTTCAAGGAATCACGAAAGTTACCGGAGCGAGCCTTGAGTTTAGGTCGCAACCTCCTGATGGCGTCGCAAATTTTATTGTACCAACACCTAAAACGTTTCTTGTATTCCTTCGGTCAAAGGACACGGATATGAATGCAAATGAGGTAGTTCTACAAAATGCACGGTGAAGAGCACCCTGAAAATACTTTGTTTGAACAAAGAGGCGTTTAGTGGTTCACAGGTCCATATTCTTCTAAATTCGAAAGCGGCCTTTTCATTCACTTTTGTCTCATGGCTGGTACATTCTAATTAACTTTATTTGTAGTGCATCCACATGCTCGTTTGCTCATGCTTAATTGGTTCTTGTTTTGGGGAGTCCTGTCACGAGCCTTGCTGTGATGTGAAGCGAAGATGCTCTTGCCTCTTGCTAGCATCTCACGTCGATCAGCGCGTCCCAAAACACAGACGGATCACCCGCATCAGCCCAAAGTGCTGTCTTGCGAAACATGCCTGTCTGTAGAAACAGAAAACTTCGCCAAAAAAGCCAAAGACGGTCGGTTGCCGTGGTTTCCCGACTCCTCCAAGATCGCTGACATCGTGACGAAGCTACGAAATGCTGCCCCGCAGATCACGTACGTGCTATCCGTCTTGGGAACTGAGTGGGGAGAAGACTTAGCTGCGCGCGAAATCTTGTTCCGCGAAAAGTTGTACGACACGGCTTTCCTTGACCAGCTCTGGCCTTGCGAGACCTGCAAGCATGCCGAGCAGCTTCCTGAGGTGCAGCAGGAGATTCAACTTTGCGGACATGTCCGCAGCTTGCGGAACTTCATTGAGGGAAGGCTGAATTCCAATGAGCAGACAATACCAAAAGTCAAGGACTTCTTGGACAAGCTGAAGGTCGGATTGCTTGACGAGAAGATCGCGGCTGCCATATCCCCCGAGCAAGACCAAAACGTAGACTGGAGCGAGGTCGAGTTTGTCAAGGTGGAACTGGGCAGCATCCTCAACCAGACAAGGCAGTGTTGCACCTGCCCAACGGGCTTCGTAAGCTTCTTAAGTACTGTACATCAACAGTGTCCAGCTGAGCTGTCCCAAATGCCGAAAATATTAAGGGTATCATGGATGCCTGTAAAAGTATGGGCAGAGAAACCCCAGAGTGGGGCCTCACCATGGTCCAGCAACCCGTGGGCAACAAACAACTCGAGGGTGTGACAGCTTCAGTCTCTGCAGGCAGTACGCCATATCTCATCAAGCAGCCACAAGCGACAGCACGGGGACCGCGAAAGCCGAGGAGCTTGAGGCACAACTGACACTTGACAGTTTCAGGTGGGCACGGGCTGGGCGATTTGAAGCCTCTTGCACAAGCCGGGTGCTATGGTCGATGCATGTCTAGCCTCCCGAAGCTCTGAGCCTTAAGCCCTTTGAGACAGCCTTACATATGTCAATCGTTCCCTTGGATGGGGCTAGATCTATATTCACGGCCCCTAAATGTCCGTGTCGTCCCGATGTGTCTTGTTCTTCGCGACATCCCCCAGCTCCCAGGAGCATGTCTATTGTGTGGTGAAGACTTGCCGAAGCCTCTTTTTCACAAAACTCGCGGATTCTTCATCCAACTCAGGAAGCGCGACATCGCAGCCAACGAGGCTGACTTCGACCGCCGCGTGCGCCAGCGCACGGAAGCCGCGGACGCCGGCCGCCACGCTGCCGAGGAGCGCGCGCAGAAGGCCGGGCAAGAGACCAGTTTGAAGGAAGGCCATTCCCCATGTGCGTGTCAACACCTACGGCGATCGAACATGTAGGGATCTGTAGGATGCAAGGGCTATCGGCGTGACAGCTCAGCAAGTGCGGGCAGTGTGCGCGATGCGGACAGTGGTATTTGCTCGAGGCTTGCTGCGCATCGTTTACGGAAATCACGCTCTCGCCCGGGTGCGGGTGTGCCCACGCTCGCCATCCTCGAAACTGTCGTCGCTTTAGACTTCTCTGCTCGCGAAATGCAAAACTGTCGCCACTTTTGGACGTCTGGGCTTGCAACGTGTGAAACTGTCGTCGCTTCTAAACTTCTGAGATGACATGCTCTCCAGAATAAGAGTCTTATTGTGGTTATATATACCCTGTTATCAGTTTCTTATAACCCCTACGGATATCTGATGATCCCTCCGGATAGGGAGCAGATAGGACACAATATGATTCAAGCAAAAGCTGCTTACGTGCGTGCCATCCCAGGTTTGCCAATTATAGGGCTCATACAAGTGGCCTCTGTCGTGCATTCCTTTATGAGGCCAGGTAGCACCAGCTGACACTTCGAGATGACCTGCAGAGGTAGCTGAACGGTTGCACTAACTTTTCAATTCACCCTGCCTTTTTCGAAACATGATCTGTGCATATCATGTTTTGTGTGGCTCATGCGTGCGAGGGTGTTAGCTCATCTACTTGAGGGCAGTTAGGGGGCCAGTATAGGGGAGGCAGCACAGCTTTAGACAGCTACTTGAAGTTTGTGTGAGGCTTTAGACCTTGTCGACCCATTTACAAAGTCCCCTGCAAATCAAGATGCGCGACCCTTGCCGCAATGTTGACAATGAAGGCTGAACAAGTGGCCAAGGATGCCGAGAAGAAGACCCGAGTCTTAGTGCAGTATTGACAGTGAGTTTCAATTTCAGGTGTGCATTTTGTTTTTCTTTGTTATGCAAAGAGCATTCAAATTGAAGATACGTTCGCTCGAGGCCTGATTGTGTCAACATGTTGATTGTTCACGAGCAGTGTCGAGCAGTGTCGATTCTCAGGGGGTTGCACGTAAGGTCGCGTGTTGAGTTTTCAGCGCCGGTTCTTGTTCTCATTCCTGCAATGGCCCCCCCCAAGACCTGAATCTCACTGCTCACCCTCGACGTCAATCCTCCAGCATTGTCTACTGCGAGAGCCTAAGCCGGGACTTCGGGAGCCGAACTGTGCAGCAGGTTCGGGCTGGAGCGAAGCTTTCCAAACCTCAAATCTAGAACCGTGACCCCCAAGCACCCTGAATCCTGCTTTGGTCCTAAGAGGTCCTAGCGTTCAATGTGTTTGGGCATATTTTTGAAGCCGAGATCTGTTGCTCAGGACAGCTAGAGGCCCAAGTGGAGGAGCAGAAGACACGGATTGAAGATCTTGAAGCAGCCTTGAAACAAGAGAGGCTCTGCTCACGACTTTGTGGCGCAGTTCTTGTGTGTTCCCCCGTGTCTACCGACAGGTCCATGCTTGGCATGTTAGAAGATGGAGGCCAAGGCCAGCGAAGGTTCCTTGAACCCAGAACCCTGTGCAAACCCTAAACCCCAAGGGCTGAACGTTGCGTAAGAGGGCCATGGAGGCTAGGCTGAAGATGATGAAACAGGCCCCAAGGCTCGAACACCCCAAAAAACACCCAGCCCGAACATCCCAAGTCCAGCTAGAAGGCACCACCAACTCAAGCCCTGGGCTTCAAGTTTTGGGGTTGAGGGTCTCCAGGGTTCGGCGTGTTGCCAGGCATATCAGCAGTTTAGGGGCTCTTTTTGTAGTTCACAACCCTAAGCCCTAAACCCTAAACCTTAAACCCTAAACCCGAAACCCTAAACCCTAAACAGCAGCCGCTCAGCCAAGGGCAGCAAAGGCTTCCAAAGCCCAGGGCCTCGAAGACCAGCTAAAAGAAGAGCGGACCAAGAGAAGAGCCGACTCCTGGGCGGCGAGTTGAGAGGATTTTTTTTTTTTTTTTTGGGGGGGGGGGGGGGGGGGGGGGTGGGGGGGTTAGGGCCTAGGGCGAGTTTCTAAAATAACAGGGTTAGGGATGTTTTTTTTTTTTTTTTTTGGGGGGGGGGGGGGGGGTTAGGGCCTCGGGTATACTGCAAAGCTCTCGGTGGTGGTGTCCGTAGGGATGCCTTTGTGTACCCGGATGCTGCCAGGGAAGGGCTCCAGGGAGCCCATCATACGGGTCGAAGAGTCGAGTCCCCGCCTTCTTTCTCCCTAATGGAGAGATATGGCGAGCTATGGAGAGCTCAAAGAAAACCAGCAGAAGAAGAAGAAGAAGACGAAGAAGAAACAGCTGAGCGTCGAGAGCATCATGGCGCTCCAACTCGAAAAGCACAGTGCACACTATCATCTTTCGGTTTGGGTTTCAGGTGACGTTCCCCCCCCCCACTGCAAGTTTGACTGTTTTTTTGAAGGCTATAGTCTGGTGTGCTGGTAGCTTCGGGCTGCCTTGAGAGCAGCCAAGGACCAGGAAAAGTTGGCAGAATGTCAGCGTCTCCAGTTGCAACTCCGGGCGGTGTCTACGAGTTTTGAGCACATCTTACCTAACGCTGAGGTTGCCTAAGGGGATCCGTCAAGCCCAGTTTCTTGGGCTTGCCCGGGAGAGACAAGAGCATGAAGAAGGCAGCGCGCCCCTTTCTTCAAGATGTGGATGTCTGACGTGGTTGGGGGTGTACAGGGCGGGCGAGTGCTGGCGAGCATTGCTCGCATGACTTCGAGATGAAGGGGGACGTCATCTGCAAAGACACGCTGCAGATTCCGATTGTTTTCTCGTCTCCATTGTCGGGGCATACACCGTGATGCAGCAAGACTGCAGGAAGCCATACAGCCAAGCAATCGCCCAAGCCATCCAAGCCTGAGTCAGCCACGAGTCCTCTGCAAAGATGCCCCCAAGCCTCTCGTACCTGGGACGAGTGCTGGCGTCCACATGCTTGCTCAGGAGAACGAGCCGGACAGAGTTCAGAGCCAAAGGCCAGGGTCAAATGCCGGGGTCAATTGCCTAAGATTTGGCGATTGGGGTTTCGAGGGCTTCTAGGGGCTCGAGCGCAAGACTGCCGGGAAATGAGAAGCTGGTGTTGGCTTCATTTCATCCGAATGTTTGCTGAATCGGCATCAGCCCTCTATGCCTGAACCCCTAAATCCCCTGAAGCCCCAAAACCTAGGGGTTAGGGTGTAGGACTTTGGGTTAAGGGTTTAAGGTGAACCCCCCCAGGCCCCTCAAGAGCCCAATTCAACCTCAGGGCCGGGTCGATGTTCGTTTCCTCTGCGGCTCAAGGTACCGAGCCCATGCCTCACACACACACACACACACACACACACACACACACCTTCAAGGGATGAAGACTCTTACCCCTAAGGTTGTACCCCTTAAGGCTCCCTTCAATATACTGCTAATGTGGCGATTACGTTCCCTTAGGAATTCTTTAAAAAGGTTGCACCTAATCCAATGGTACAACCTTATAGGGATCCAAGCTACCCCATGACACCTATCAGTTATCTTGAAGCTCATGGGCTCTAGAGGTTTAGCGATTGACAAGTTCAAAAGGCTCATTTTCGCTTGATGTTGGGCATGCTATAACGTAAAGTATGTAGTCTACAACCCTTAAACCTCTCATAGGTAATGCATAATGTGCGTATATATATAGATACATGTATATATACATATATAGATCGATAGATAGATAGAGTATGTGTATGAGCAGGAACAATTTAAGATTTTAATTGGCGCCGTGTGCTTGCGCTTCTTGCATTTTGCATTGGAGGCCTGAGTGGGGGGGGCCGCAGGGCTGGGGCTGGGGCAGGTTTGGGGTTTAGGGCTCATTGGATATGGTTTCGTCCCAGGCAGCCAGTGCAGCAGTCCCGGTCGTATAAAAGGGCTCATTGGGTTCTGCGATGCATGGGTATTTTGGGTAGCTCTGGCAGCTAGTGTAGGCTCTTGTAGTAGGTTTAAGGCGGTTTGAGGTTTAGGCTCTTTTGTCTTGATGTTCAAAAGAGTGTCGCAGGGCCATGCTCTGCGCCATGCTGAAGAACAGAGGTCAATATTGCGAAAAGTGTGGCCGGGCCACTATGTTCTAGAAAC